AGTATGTATGAATGATGGACAGTGATGGACCGACGGGTTAACAGCTGGTCAAGAACGGCTGACGAGCCCGGAATGGGAGTGTCTGAGCCACGAGGGCCACCCTTCACTCAGGAGGTTCTGGTCATCACGAGGATGACTGGACCTAACGATGTATGTATGGTTAAGATGAATGTTATGAATGTTTAGTAAGTAAGGTAAGTTATGTGATTGCTAGTGTCTAAGTTTATATGTTATGATGATGGTTGTATAGCTTAAGAAAATGTTCTATGTTTCAGTGGGCAGAGTTGATTCCCCTCATTGAGTATTCTTTACTCACCCCTTTCCCCCCTTTTTTTCCTCAAGTGAATAAACTTCATGAGTTGTTGTGCAATATTTTGTTCATGGATGAAGTTTAATGAAAACGTTTTGGCAAGATCTGATGAATAACATGCTGTTTTGGCCTATATGGCGGGACGGGTGTTACAGGTTTGTCCTCTATTCAAAGAATTCGCAACTTAATTTTAAAAACCCTAATTTTTCTTCGTTGTTCTTGAGCAAAACCCTAAACCTTGTCTCTAAGCAACCGTGTTCATCTTTTATTTGAGTCTTTGATTACAAATAGCAAGAGAGTTCATTGAATTTGTTTTTCCCTTTTAAACAAATTCATTGTGTGATTTTCTTAATCAACAACTATGAAACAAGAAAAACAAATGATGAAAGTCATGAAGATAACAAACGAATTAGCATTATAGAAAACGTCCATTACAACTCGCACCCCCAATATATTAGCAAACTGAACCGATTATACCTTGGTTTGAATAATCAAGGTAATAGGCAAGAGAAATTGGGAGTTTTTTCGGTTTATGGGGGGTAGTATGGGATCCGTAGTTCATATTGTTCATGGGTTGAGAACGGTTATGTTTTCAAACTTCTTCCACGGGTTCGGTTTTTGTGTTTCGCTCAAGGGCAAAAAAAAAGCTAAGTTTGGGGGAGTTGATATATCACGGATTTTACCGATTTAGTCATGATTTATGGGTCAGTTTTAGAGTCTTTTTGTTGTTTCGAGTGTCTTTTTGAGTCTTTTCAGGGTTTTACACGTTTGGGACAAATTTGGAGAAAGAGAACCATTCTGGAGCTAAACCGAAGATTTAGAGCTGAGGAACAAAATCGGTATCAGATCAAGACATGAGTGTCGACCGACACCCTTTGGGACGCTCGACACCACACGGCCCAGCAAAAAGTCTCGACGGTTTGGAGTTTTAAAACCCGAAGAATCAACCCAGAAGACTTCTCTATTTGCATCTTTAATCCCTGCATGTTTTTGGAGACTTTATAAATAGTTTTTAGGGTTTTTCTGTTCCATTACCCTGCAATCTTGTTTTCTGCTTTTGGCTTTGTAATTCTCTGAGTTTGAACCCTTTGGAAGATAATTGGAGATAGCTACTTTCAGAGATTTCAAAACCCTGTTAGAGATCGAGAAGATTTATTCTAAACTCTATTCTCTTTTTTTATTTCTTATTTGCAATTTATTCAAAAATGTTTTCTGTTTCATTAATCATGTCTGAGTAATCACCTTATTAGGTTTAGAGATTGTCATTAGTGATTTAGATAAAGTAGTAAATCGATTACCTGTTAGGATTAATCTATAGAGTTTTTAACCTTACGTTGTTCTTAATGCTAGTTCTATAGTAGCTAACTAGAACTTGATCATAAGATAATAGGTTTTGATCCGAGAGGACGCCTGTTACTAGAACTGCTTTAGGTGGGCAAAGATTTCTAGATTCATATGAGAGATGGTCTAGGAATATTTGTGAATATATCAAACCTGTTTTTAATGCTAGTCTAGATCTAGGAATTCGCATTCGAGAGGGTGGAATGACCTGATATTAGATTAGTTAGTTAGCGCATCCGAGAGGGTGGTTAGCTATACATTAGTGTTTTGAGTTCTAGAACGGTTCGTTAAATGATCTTAATTAATTTGCTAGTTCTATAGCTCTCATTTGATCCTTATCAATACCTATTAGATCATGATGTTTCGCTACCATAGTTTTGTAATGTAAATTTGATAAAAAAAAACTAATATACAAATTAAAGTTAGATAAAACCCCGATAAATCATTTCTAAATCTATGATTTGTTTGTTAGGCGTTAAAGTTAACCTTAACGTCCGTTTAGCGCCTAGAGTACTATAAAACTAGTTTTGAACGTAGGTGAATTACTCTTTTTTTTTGTCAAAGGTAGGTGAATTAATTACTCATTGGATGAGCTTTCGAAAATGTCCAATAAATTTAGCGCTTTTATTTTGTATTTATAATTTTTATACTGTAAATAAAAATCACTCATAATAACTTTGTAATTAGAAAGAGAGAAAAATATAGAAGAGAGTCGTTTTTCAACCAACGGCTAGAAGATTATGTCGTCGGTTGGAATAGAGTTGACCTGTTTTTCTTCTAAGGTTGTGTACTGGTGGCCAGCTTGCTATTTTGGGTCAAGCTTTTTTTTTTATGTTTCTTCTTCTTACAATTGCCCTCTCTTTTTTTTCTCTTAGCTTTCAAGCGGTTGGACGACTTTTCCAGTTTTTTTCACTCGAGTTTAAGATCAGATATGGTCGAGATCTGATTAATTTTTGCTTTCTCTCAATAATGACTTTACTTGAGTATATCTAGATGTTACCACTATCAACGAATAGCAGATGGTTCTAAAATCTTAAGAGAGAGGCCCATTAAACAGAGTAAGTAAGCATAAGTTTCAATTTTAGAAGTTTACCAAGCATCAAACAAGGACATAAAGACCATAAATTTTGACAAGGTTTGTGATTTTCATCAACATCAAAACAATTTCTGATCTCGTTAAAAAATTAGTTAATAGGTTTAAGATTTAATTAGTAAAAACTTAGGTTTAGCAAGTATTTTCCAAAACATGTTTCAAATTTTAGAGCTATTATTTCCGGAGAGTTTAACATTTTTTGCCGGATTAGCTAGTTTCCAACGATATTTCTTTTTTACGGTAACATATGTAAGGTCACCAGTAATCCTATACTATTATTTGGGAGTACACTTTATAAGATACCCTTAACTAACCTTTCCTTTTGTAAAAAAATTACTTAAGAAAAAATATAGAAGAGAGTCATTATTCAACCAACGGCTAGAAGATATGTCGTCGGTTGGAATAGAGTTGACATGTTTTTCTTCTAAGGTTGTGTACTGGTGGCCAGCTTGCTATTTTGGGTCAAGTTTTTTTTTTTATGTTTCTTCTTCTTACAATTGCCCTCTTTTTTTTTTTTTTTCTCTTAGCTTTCAAGCGGTTGGACGACTTTTCCAGTTTTTTCCACTCGAGTTTAAGATCAGATATGGTCGAGATCTGATTAATTTTTGCTTTCTCTCAATAATGACTTTACTTGAGTATATCTAGATGTTACCACTATCAACGAATAGCAGATGGTTCTAAAATCTTAAGAGAGAGGCCCATTAAACAGAGTAAGTAAGCATAAGTTTCAATTTTAGAAGTTTACCAAGCATCAAACAAGGACATAAAGACCATAAATTTTGACAAGGTTTGTGATTTTCATCCACATCAAAACAATTTCTGATCTCGTTAAAAAAATTAGTTAATAGGTTTAAGATTTAATTAGTAAAAACTTAGGTTTAGCGAGTATTTTCCAAAACATGTTTCAAATTTTAGAGCTATTATTTTTGGAGAGTTCAACATTTTTTGCCGGATTAGCTAGTTTCCAACGATATTTTTTTTTTACGGTAACGTATGTAGGTTCACCAGTAATGATTTAATAAAATTTAGGATGACAAATAAAAACAACTTCGTACTTAGCACAATTGTAGATTAAGCTATATTGATTCATATAACATTGCGATATCTTAGATAATGACCTCATTATAACAATAATTTTGTAAGATTCAACTCTATTGCATAGATATATATTCATTTATTTAATAAAAGCTTAGAACGCCTAAAATGGTGAAGGTTCTAAGTAAGTATTCTAAACGCTAGATATTTAATAGCCATCGATATAGAGCCTACCTCTTTCTTGAGTAATGACTTACACTAATGAAACAAGATTTATAATCGACCCTAATCCTTACTGCAAAAAAGATTTATAATTAATGAAAACCAAAACTTGTCGAACACGTTCAAGTCCATAAACGTGTTCGATTAAAACCCAACTAGTTAATTAGAAGATGTGATGCATCATATAAGAGGAGCTGTCTTGTTAGTTTGTCCTTAATAATCACACCATCAGAATCTGAGGTAAGCTTAGATATAGACAAGAGAGGCTTAGTAGGACAGACTAGAACATCATGTAATGGAATGTTACCTTGAGTGCTTGTCAGAACAGCAGAACTAATGTGTGTTATTGGGAGAAAGTCACCATTACCAACAATCACATAGTCTTCACCACTGTAAGGCTGAGCTTCCTGAAGTTGTGAAGTGGAGTTTGTAATGTGAGAGGTAGCGCATGCAGCAAAAGCCTGACTGGGATCTTCACTTTGATAGGCATGATCAAATCGTTTGTAACATTTGTAAGTTGAATGTCCGTACTTGTTGCATATCTGACAGGTGGGTCTTTGTTGGAATTGTATCCTTGATTGAACTTGCAAAAGAGAAGAAGAAGCTTCAGAAGATGAAGAAGCAAAGCAAAGAAGAAGCAAGAGAAGAAGAAGAAGATGTCGTGACAGAGAGGTCAACGACAAAGGAGAAGAAAGACAGAGTCAACAAGGAAGAAGAAGTTGGGCTTGTGGTTTTTGGAGTGTTGTAATGGGCCTACGAAATAAGTAAGGCCCAGTAAGAAGAATGTTGTTTTTGGTTAAAGTCTAAGTAGTAGCTAGGTGTCTAAAGAGAGTGAATTGAGGGAATTAGAGAGTTAGTAACTAGGAGTGTGGTCTAGTGTGTAAGAGTCATGATGATCTAAAGTATGGTCTAAGTGAAAGTGGTAAGTAGAGAAACCACTATATGTATGTGTATGTGTGTTTTGTAAAAAAAAATCCAAGTTTAGTAAAATGTAGACCATTAAAGAAAATCTCTCTTCTCTCTTAAAGATCAAATCGTTTATGAATGTGAAGAGAAACAAAACAATCAAAGAGAGTAAAGAGAGAACAAGGTAATCTCTGTTTCAACAACAAAAGAAACAGAGAGATACTAAAGAGAGTGTGAGAGATGGTGAACCTCTAAAGGTTAAATAGAGGAAGAACCTGAAAATGCAACAGTCTTGTACCAGAATCAGGAGAAGAGCCATTGGAGATTTGCTGATGGAAACCTCTTCCCCTGGTGGAGTAATTGTTGCGACCTCGATATCAACCAGATCGACCACCTGAGTTACCACGACCTCTATTGGAGTAGTTGGTGTCTGATGCAAAGGCCAAGTGAGGAGAGACTGTAGACACCTCAGCATACTTCTGTACCTTGTCTTCGAAATTAATCAGTTTGAACACAACATCTTCAAAGGACATGGGAAATGTATGATGTATCCATAGATCCTTCAATCATTGTAGAAACAGGCACATAATCTTGTCCTAAACCATTCAAAACTCCAAAAATCTTTTCTTTTTCAGGGACGGGACAACCAATAGAGTCTAACTGATCACAGATTTGTTTAACATAGTTCAAGTATTCACCCATAGAGTTTCCTTCTTTAGAAACAGAGTTCAAACGACGTTGCAAATCACTCTTCCTAGAAGCAGAGACACGGTTATATTTATTTGCTAGAGAAAACCATACCTCTCGTGACGTGTGTAACCTGTAGACAGACCGAAGAGCATCTTTAGACAACGAACCGAGCAGCCAACCCATTATTTTCTGATCATTTTGAACCCAAGAAAGAAACTCTGGATTTGTCGTCTCAGACACTTGATCTCCGTTTCTGACTGATAATGTAGTAGCAGGACAAGGATGAGCTCCAGTAACAAAACCCAGCATATGTTGATTGTTGAGCCAAGTTTCGAACTGAATCTTCCATAGCAGATAGTTTGCAGAAGAGAGTTTTAGAGTAACACAATGAGAAAAACAGAGAGCGGAAGATGAATCAGAGTTGTCAGCCATGGTCGACTGTGCTCTGATACCATGAAAGTCTTAATAAGACAAATGTGAAGAGAAAATCTTTATTGAATATTTCTACTTAAGGATTACAATGACAGAGGAGGAGACTATATAGGAGAACCCAAAAGAAGAACTTCTAGGTCACACGTCATCACACACACATGACGACAGAGGGACAAAGCGAATCAAATCTGTTGTGCAGCGGTGTTTGATGAGCTGTGAATCCCGTACGTTGTTGAGCTGGAACGATCACACGCTTTGACTGAGATTCCTTGTTACCGTTGTAGAGCAAAGCAGGTTTTGAGTTAATGGGCTTAAAGATTGTTGACTGGCCCAATGTCTTGTTGTCAGGCTTTAAGGATCCAGTCGCCGAAAGCAGAGCTTCTGGTTGTGGTGGAGGTTCTCTCTGTTTTACAATATTTTCATAAACTCATTAATCTAGAGAAGTTAGTATCGATTTTTTTCATTCTTCCGTTAATAAATCTTGATTGAGATTTCAGCATTGAAACAATCATGGTAATGTATTGGATAATAAAAATAAGATATTTATAAAGAAAAAGGAAAAATTATTTACAGTTAAAATAAAATGAAATGCATGCTGGATAGATCCGAAGAAGTAACTAATAGTACTAGGTTAATAAATAGTCCTAAGCCAATTAAAAAGCAGGGTCCATGAACAAGTTCTATATAGTCTATAGTGAATATTTCTGAACACATCATTCGAACCAATATTGATTGCAATGATCTTGGTAAGTTTTAGCATTGGAGGTACCAAGTGTCAGCATAAATCCAGCTTAAAGTTCTAGTTAAACCACATGTACGATCAGATGACGCAATAATCATATATCTATATATTTGAGAATGAAACATGCATGTTTAAATCTGACTGTATTGTCTAAGATTGTGGTTAATATTCTAGGGACATAAATTTGAATGTAGCCGGGCATGGACTGATTAAACACAAACACAAAACACAAAACGATTTTACGATTAACAAAGAAACAAAAGTAACATGAGCTTACACTTTGGGGCAAGCAAAGTTAAGCTTTGCCCTTGATGTTTTATTTGGAAGCAAATTATAAACTTGAACATTAACATACACACATGACACATGGAATGTCCACACACTGAACGAAGAAAAAGTTACACTTGGTGAGGTTATCAAGACGTTCCGAGTAACTTGGTGAGGTTATCAAGACGTTCCGTAGCAATGGCAGTGATTCACGCCTCCCTCAGCTTCAACACGTCCAGCACATACTGCTGCAGATCCGAATTTTCCCTCGCAACAGCTTTTGCAATCAGCATTTGAACCTGTGAACGGGACCGCCCCACACTCGCCTAAGAACTTGAAGCATGCAGCCTCGGTCTCTAGGATTCCTACATGCAGACATTTTCATCAAGATAATAAAAAAAAAATTTGACTCGACTGCATAATTGATAACTTCGTGAAATTAATACCAGTGGAAGCCATCAATAGGACAAGCAAGAGAGCAGTAACGCTGACAGTGTTGAGGTTCTTTGCCATTTCTTTTGTTTTCGCTTTGCCTTTTCAAAACTTTATATTTTTCTTTTGCTCTTCAATAAACTTTATCTTGGGTGATACATATCCATATGTGTGATGATCTATTTATAGTCGAAATTCTATAGTTTTTCATAATTGTTTAGTCCATCTTCTTCTATTTTTTAGGGTTTTTCCTTCTTCAGCAAGTTCATAGTGTCGCCACAATTGTGCATTGCCTCCTTTTTTTATAACATTTTATTTTCCGAAGGTATTCCTTTTTAATTATCATAGACTTGTTTAAATAATTAACCCATAGGAAGGTCGTTGTAACAACTCATTTATATATCTTTTTTTTTTCTTTAGTTTCTAATAAACTATTGTTTGAAATTGACAATGTTGTTATCATTGACAAAGTAAAGACGAATCTTGGACATTTTTAATTCCAATAGTTAAAGCTTTGGCTTTATTAATTCAATTAAAAACTTTAGGGTTTACCAACATTGTAGCAATCATGGCGACACTATCTCGATTCTTTTGAACATCTCTTCGTATGCATGTCATGATATGATGTTCCGAAGTTATTTGGCTATTGTTGGTGCAAGAATTAGCACCTCCGACAATACCGGCTTAAACCGGAAGAATTACAAATAAAACTGAGATTTCAGTTAAACCGGGGTATTCCGGTTTAGCTTGTTAATGAGCTCAAGAAGGAAGGTCGCCTGGCGATTTCAACTTGAAGAAGGAAGATCGCCTAACCGACATCCTTATTTAAGGAAAGGAAAATTTTCCATTTGAAAAAAGGAGAAACGCGAAAAGAAAGAAAGAGCAGAAGATTTAGGCTCCGAAGAATTAGAAGTCTAACATATCTCTAAACCGTCTCAATAATGTATAACTAGAGGGGTTTGTCCTCTATTCAAAGAATTCGCAACTTAAAACTAAAAACCGTAATTTTTCTTCGTTGTTCTTGAGCAAAACCCTAAACCTTGTCTTTAAGCAACCGTGTTCATCTTTTATTCGAGTCTTTGATTACAAATAGCAAGAGAGTTCATTGAATTTGTTTTTCCCCTTTAAACAAATTCATTGTGTGATTTTCTTAATCAACAACTATGAAACAAGAAAAACAAATGATGAAAGTCATGAAGATAACAAACGAATTAGCATTATAGAAAACGTCCATTACAACTCGCCCCAAATATATTAGCAAACTAAACAGATTATACCTTGGTTTGAATAATCAAGGTAATAGGCAAGAGAAATTGGGAGATTCTATGTTTTCAAACTTTTTCCACGGGTTCGGTTTTTGTGTTTCGCTTAAGGGCAAGCAAAAGCTAAGTCTGGGGGAGTTGATATATCACAGATTTTACCGATTTTAGTCATGATTTATGGGTCAGTTTTAGAGTTTTTTTGTTGTTTCGAGTGTCTTTTCGAGTCTTTTCAGGTTTTTATATGTTCGGAACAAATTTGGAGAAAGGGAACCATTCTGGAGCTAAACCGGAGATTTAAAGCTGAGGAACAAAATCGGTATCAGATCAAGACATGAGTGTCGACCGACACCCTTTGGTGTCGCTCGACACCACACACGGCCCAGCAAAAAGTCTCGACGGTTTAGAGTTTTAAAGCCCGAAGAAGCAACCCAGAAGAGTTCTCTATTTGCATCTTTAGTCCCTGCACGTTTTTGGAGACTTTATAAATAGTTTTTGGGGTTTTTCTGTTCCATTACCCTGCAATCTTGTTTTCTGCTTTTGGCTTTGTAATTCTCTGAGCTTGAACCCTTTGGAAGATAATTGGAGAGAGCTACTTTCAGAGATTTCAAAACCCTATTAGAGAGAAGATTTATTCTAAACTTTATTCTCTTTTTTATTTCTTATTTGCAATTTATTCAAACATGTTTTCTGTTTCACTAATTATGTCTGAGTAATCACTTCATTAGGTTTAGGGATTCTCATTAGTGATTTAGATAAAGTAGTAAATCGATTACCTATTAGGATTAATCTATAGAGTTTTTCACGTTACGTTGTTTTTAATGCTAATTCTAGAGTAGCTAACTAGAACTTGATCATAGGATAATAGGTTTTGATCCGAGAGGACGCCTGTTACTGGAACTGCTTTAGGTGGGCAAAGATTTCTAGATTCATATGAGAGGTGGTCTAGGAATATTTGTAAAAATATCAAACCTGTTTTTAATGCTAGTCTAGATACTCATAAGTCAAGAACTAACTATTAAAAATGAAATCCCACCGTTGCTTATCTAGCCTACAATACCATGAACAACTCCACAAAGTTTCAGCTCGATCGGACATCGTTACAACCTCCAAAAGATGCCCGCAATAACCAATCTCGAAACTGTTCCTGTTCCATACTTAGCACAAATTTGCACCACTTTTCAGCAATTACTTGGCCAGGAAGGAATACACATAACTCCTTGAGTTTAATTTCTATCGAAGTTCTGTCAGTTGCTACGGACTCTTGGATTGTTGGAGATCACGCTGGTACCTTTACCTTGCCGGAAAGACATCAGCTCCGATGTCGGAGAGCCTCTAAAGTTTGCACATCCACATTGCCTTTATCTCCATCTTCCCTTCACTTTCTTTCTCTTCTTCTCCTTTCCCTTCTCAGATCCGACCTGACATGGCTCCTCCACCACAAAAGCGACTGACCACGACCACTACAAGCCCAATTAGAGCCACCGGTTGTTCCACAATCTCCGCCCATCTCGTTCTCTCTCTCCTCTCCCACGGGTCTCTCTCTCATACCCGTCAATCCATTCGTTTCTCCCTCTCCCCTTCAGGCCAGAGTACAGCTCGTCTCTCCTCTCTTTTTCTATCACCACCACCGAACTCTCTCTTCCTCTCACCACCGAACTCTCTCTTCCTCTCACCACCACCGCTTCCCTTTAATATCACAACCAATTCTTTGTTTCCTAATGATCTACATGTGGTGGTGCTGATGATCTTTCTTCCTCCATGACGTCTCCTCCATCTCCTCTTTCCTTTCCTTTTCTCTTCCTTTCTCTTCCTTTCTCTAGTTTGGCTCATTCTCTCCGATGGATCTGTTGGCCACATCTTAACCCTTTCTTTCCTTTGATGGCTCGGGTCTGGCTCACAAACTCACCACAATCTCTTTCTTCTCCACCACGTCTCATGACGATGGCTCAAGATGGAGGCAGCAACAAGATGCAACTATGGTGTGGCTGCTCTTAATTTAGGGTTTATGATGGAGAAGAAGAAGGCGATAAATACACATATACATGTGATGCATCTCACACATACACCAAACCCTTTTTCTAATTTGGCTTTCATGGGCTTACATGCTTAATTGTAGCAAAAGAAATAGGGTGGGTTCAAGTTATTGGGTTTTGGGGTGTTATAAAACCCCTCTAATTATACATTATTGAGACCGTTTAGAAAGATGTTAGATTTCTAATTCTTCGGAGCCTAAATCTTCTCCTCTTCCTTTCTTTTCGCGATTCTACTTTTTTCAAATGGAAAATTTCCCTTTCCTTAAATAAGGAAGTCGGTTAGGCGATCTTCCTAGCCTTCTTCAAGTTGAGATCGCCAGGCGACCTTTTTTCTTGAGCTCATTAACAGGCTAAACCGGAATACTCCGGTTTAACTAAAATCTCAGTTTTATTCGTAATTCTTCCGGTTTAAGCCGGTATTATCGGAGGTGCTAATTCTTGCACCAACAATAGCCAAATAACTTCGGAACATCATATCATGACATGCATACGAAGAGATGTTCAAACGAATCGAGATAGTGTCGCCATGATTGCTACAATGTTAGTAAACCCTAAAGTTTTTAATTGAATTAATAAAGCCAAAGCTTTAACTATTGGAATTAAAAATGTCCAAGATTCGTCTTTACTTTGTCAATGATAACTGGAGACTGGAGACTTTTTGTTGGGCCGTGTGTGGTGTCGAGCGACACCAAAGGGTGTCGGTCGACACTCATGTCTTGATCTGATACCGATTTTGTTCCTCAGCTCTAAATCTCCGGTTTAGCTCCAGAATGGTTCCCTTTCTCCAAATTTGTCCCGAACGTATAAAAACCTGAAAAGATTCAAAAAGACACTCGAAACAACAAAAAAACTCTAAAGCTGACCCATAAATCATGACTAAAATCTGTAAAATCTGTGATATATCAACTCCCCCAGAGTTTCATCAGAAGCCGAGCAGAGGCGGCAAGTTGCAGGAATAGGAAGTCCCCATGAAGCAAGCCTGGCCCTTGTCAGCAATCTGTCCAATTGAGAAACCCACATAGTGAAGGCATGCTTCGGTGTGGCACCTTTAAACCAAACTGATGAAACCAAACTCCGTACCCTTTGCTATACATTATCAAGAGTATATATATAGGTTACAAGAGATCGTATCTAGGGTAAATGTAAAAGGAATGTTTACATTTTTGATATATACTCTAACAGTAATGGACGTTTTCTATAATGCTAATTCGTTTGTTATCTTCATGACTTTCATCATTTGTTTTTCTTGTTTCATAGTTGTTGATTAAGAAAATCACACAATGAATTTGTTTAAAGGGGAAAAACAAATTCAATGAACTCTCTTGCTATTTGTAATCAAAGACTCGAATAAAAGATGAACACGGTTGCTTAAAGACAAGGTTTAGGGTTTTGCTCAAGAACAACGGAGAAAAATTAGGGTTTTTAGTTTTACGTTGCGAATTCTTTGAATAGAGGACAAACCCCTCTAGTTATACATTATTGAGACGGTTTAGAGATATGTTAGACTTCTAATTCTTCGGAGCCTAAATCTTCTGCTCTTCCTTTCTTTTCGCGTTTCTCCTTTTTTCAAATGGAAAATTTCCCTTTCCTTAAATAAGGAAGTCGGTTAGGCGATCTCCCTTCTTCAAGTTGAAATCGCCAGGCGACCTTCCTTCTTGAGCTCATTAACAGGCTAAACCGGGATACCCCAGTTTAACTGAAATCTCAATTTTATTTGTAATTCTTCCGGTTTAAGCCGGTATTGTCGGAGGTGCTAATTCTTGCACCAACAATAGCCAAATAACTTCGGAACATCATATCATGACATGCATACGAAGAGATGTTCAAAAGAATCGAGATAGTGTCGCCATGATTGCTACAATGTTGGTAAACCCTAAAGTTTTTAATTGAATTAATAAAGCCAAAGCTTTAACTATTGGAATTAAAAATGTCCAAGATTCGTCTTTACTTTGTCAATGATAACAACATTGTCAATTTCAAACAATAGTTTATTAGAAACTAAAGAAAAAAAAAAGATATATAAATGAGTTGTTACAACGACCTTCCTATGGGTTAATTATTTAAACAAGTCTATGATAATTAAAAAGGAATACCTTCGGAAAATAAAATGTTATAAAAAAAGGAGGCAATGCACAATTGTGGCGACACTATGAACTTGCTGAAGAAGGAAAAACCCTAAAAAATAGAAGAAGATGGACTAAACAATTATGAAAAACTATAGAATTTCGACTATAAATAGATCATCACACATATGGATATGTATCACCCAAGATAAAGTTTATTGAAGAGCAAAAGAAAAATATAAAGTTTTGAAAAGGCAAAGCGAAAACAAAAGAAATGGCAAAGAACCTCAACACTGTCAGCGTTACTGCTCTCTTGCTTGTCCTATTGATGGCTTCCACTGGTATTAATTTCACGAAGTTATCAATTATGCAGTCGAGTCAAATTTTTTTTTTATTATCTTGATGAAAATGTCTGCATGTAGGAATCCTAGAGACCGAGGCTGCATGCTTCAAGTTCTTAGGCGAGTGTGGGGCGGTCCCGTTCACAGGTTCAAATGCTGATTGCAAAAGCTGTTGCGAGGGAAAATTCGGATCTGCAGCAGTATGTGCTGGACGTGTTGAAGCTGAGGGAGGCGTGAATCACTGCCATTGCTACGGAACGTCTTGATAACCTCACCAAGTTACTCGGAACGTCTTGATAACCTCACCAAGTGTAACTTTTTCTTCGTTCAGTGTGTGGACATTCCATGTGTCATGTGTGTATGTTAATGTTCAAGTTTATAATTTGCTTCCAAATAAAACATCAAGGGCAAAGCTTAACTTTGCTTGCCCCAAAGTGTAAGCTCATGTTACTTTTGTTTCTTTGTTAATCGTAAAATCGTTTTGTGTTTTGTGTTTGTGTTTAATCAGTCCATGCCCGGCTACATTCAAATTTATGTCCCTAGAATATTAACCACAATCTTAGACAATACAGTCAGATTTAAACATGCATGTTTCATTCTCAAATATATAGATATATGATTATTGCGTCATCTGATCGTACATGTGGTTTAACTAGAACTTTAAGCTGGATTTATGCTGACACTTGGTACCTCCAATGCTAAAACTTACCAAGATCATTGCAATCAATATTGGTTCGAATGATGTGTTCAGAAATATTCACTATAGACTATATAGAACTTGTTCATGGACCCTGCTTTTTAATTGGCTTAGGACTATTTATTAACCTAGTACTATTAGTTACTTCTTCGGATCTATCCAGCATGCATTTCATTTTATTTTAACTGTAAATAATTTTTCCTTTTTCTATAAATATCTTATTTTTATTATCCAATACATTACCATGATTGTTTCAATGCTGAAATCTCAATCAAGATTTATTAACGAAAGAATGAAAAAAATCGATATTTTGATAAGTTGAATATTTTGATAAAACTCACGCTTGGGATTTGGTTCCACCTGATCCCTCTATCACACCACTCGGATGTAGATGGGCTTTTAAGACCAAGTTAAGGGCTGATGGTTCTCTTGACAGGTTAAAAGCTAGGTTAGTAGCTAAAGGTTATGAACAAGAAGAAGGTGTAGACTATGTGGAGACTTATAGCCATATTGTTCGCACAACAACAGTAAGATCCATTCTACATATAGCTACCATTAACAAGTGGGAGATCAAGCAGCTTGATGTGAAAAACGCCTTCCTACATGGTGATTTGAAAGAAACAGTCTACATGTATCAGCCTCCTGGTTTTGAAAATAAAGATAGACCTGACTACATTTGCAAGCTCAACAAGGCGATCTATGGTCTAAAACAAGCTCCAAGGGCCTGGCTTGACAAGTTCAGTTCTTTTCTTCTTGAGTTTGGGTTCTCTTGCACATATTCAGACCCATCTCTGTTTGTGTATCTGAAAGGTAATGATCTCATGTTCCTCTTGCTATATGTTGATGACATGCTTCTTACTGGCAGCAATGGTGACCTTCTTAACACTCTGCTTGCTTCCCTTAACAAAGAATTCCGCATGAAAGATATGGGTATGCTACATTATTTTCTCTGGATTCAAGCTCATTTTCACTCTAATGGGTTATTTCTACATCAAGAAAAGTATGCAATCGATCTTCTTGTTGTTGCGGGTATGGCAGATTGTGCTCCTATGCCAACACCTCTCCCTTTGCAATTAGATAAGGTCCCTGGCCAACAAGAAGCTTTTCCAGACCCTACTTATTTCAGAAGTCTAGCTGGTAAGTTACAGTATCTGACTCTTACTCGTCCAGATATTCAGTTTGCTTTTAATCTGGTTTGTCAAAAGATGCATTCACCAACAGTTGCTGACTTCAATCTCCTCAAAAGAGTGTTGAGATATCTCAAAGGAACGGTTCAGATGGGTCTTGATCTCTCTAATAACACAGACAGTGATTGGGCAAATTGCAAAGGGACCAGAAGATCTGTTGGTGGTTTCTGTACCTTTCTTGGTACTAGTATTATAAGTTGGTCTGCTAAACGTCATCCAACAGTCTCAAGATCCTCAACAGAAGCTGAGTACAAAACTCTCTCTATAGCTGCTACAGAAATCAAGTGGATCTCTACCTTACTTAGAGAAATTGGAATCACTCAGTCTGATACACCGGAGCTATACTGTGATAATCTATCTGTAGTCTATCTCACAGCCAACCCTGCAATGCACAATCGCTCCAAGTCTTTTGATGTTGATTTTCACTATGTGCGCGAGCGTGTTGCTTTGGGAGCTTTGGTCGTCAAACATGTTCCTGCTTCTCATCAGCTTGCAGACATATTCACCAAGTCTCTACCTCAACAACCGTTCTTTGACTTGCGTTACAAACTTGGCGTTGTTCTACCACCTACACCAAGTTTGAGGGGGTGTGTAAAACAGAGAGAACCTCCACCACAACCAGAAGCTCTGCTTTCTGCGACTGGATCCTTAAAGCCCGACAACAAGATATTGGGCTAGTCAACAATCGTTAAGCCCATTAACTCAAAACCTGTTTTGCTCTGCAACGGTAACAAGGAATCTCAGTCAAAGCTTGTGATCGTTCCAGCTCAACAACGTACGAGATTCACAGCTCATCAAATACCGATGCACAACAGATTTGATTCGCTTTTTCCCTTTGTCGTCATGTGTGTGTGATGACGTGTGACCTAGAAGTTCTTCTTTTGGGTTCTCCTATATAATCTCCTCCTCTGCCATTGTAATCCTTAAGTAGAAATATTCAATAAAGATTTTCTCTTCACATTTGTCTTATTAAGACTTTCAAATATATCAAAAATCATGGTGTATAAGAAACTATAGAATTTCGACTAAAAACAGATTATCTAAACATGCCTGTTTCGACTATATAAACGTACATATATATATATATATGGATGGATAGTTGCAATATCAAAAAGACATCTATTACATCCTGCACAGAGGGTCGTGGTCTAGCGTTGCCCTTGCTTTTGTACTAGGGGTGCTATAGGTTTGTGCCGTTTGGTTCGTAAACTATAGACGTTAAAGTCATAAACCCCTATAAAACACTAATATTAAAAATTACATATACCGAAGTCATGTTGAACTTTACACGATACTAATTACACATCCTCTACAAAAAAGGCGATAGGAGAAGGATTGTAATTACACTAGAGACGTTATTCTATACACTACATATCGTAAGAAAAAAAAAAAAAAAAAAAAAAAAAAGAATCCAAACCTATGTCACATTATATTTGGTTTACACTAGTATCTCTTTAAATACATACTAGTATCTCTCCTCTCGTACGTGGTATGAAGAATTAAAATCAAAATAATTATATCTCACAGCTCTCATGAAGACAAAAAGTGTGGAAAGGAATTTGGTTTACGCAATATATATATTTTGATTTTCCGTCTTTGCAAGGAGGCTAGTATACTAGTTACTCAACCATGATAAAGATTAAAGAAACATGCACCTAAACTTATTTTCATAATAACATCCGGAAAATTTGGTTATCTTCCAAGTTGACTCAATAATAAACTGAGACAAAGATTTTAAGATCTGTTAATAATCATGATATGATTCGATTATGTCCATTTTTATAAGTCTGTAATGTAATGCTGTCTTTGTAATGATAATAAGCTACTTTTTTCAAAAAAATAGAACAATGATTGGAAGTTGAGCTACTGTCTCATTCAATTATGTATTCCAAAAAATATTTATTTTTATATGATGGAATTGAAGACATGTGATCACAACATCAAGTTCTTAGACGGAGTCAACTACGACAGCTTCCTTGGAGACAAACTTCTTCAATATAGCAATAAGCTGATCAAAGTCGTCTTGTGATCTGATGAGACTCAATCGCACAAACCTTTCTTCTGATCCAAACACATTGCCATTGCGTCCAGTTATCTTCACCGCTCTGAAAATCTCATAGCAGTTTTTGTCTTCTGGTCTCTCACACTTCACCCATGCATAAGCTTTCAAATGAAAAATAAGAGGCTTAATTATAAGTTTTATATAGTACCAAACCAAAAGTCTCACTCTCTTGCATTAAGATTTTCGAGAAAGTAAATGATACTGCATATGAAAAAAACTACGTTAGGAAAAATAGTTTTTTTTTCAAACAAATATTTTGTAATGTTATATTGCTCGAAATGAAGAAAATCTGGTAGAAGAAAAACTTACAAGGAGTAAACTCTCTAACTTTCTTGAAATAGTTGCAATACTGAGGTTTGATAGTCTGGAGCGAAAAACGCGTGGACATGGAAAAGATCTTGTTCAAAATCTCCCATCTTTTTTTCAAGGTTCCATAACCAAAACTGAATATTTCATCCCCTCCATCGCCAATCACTACTTTAAGCAACTGCAAAGCATGAAGCTGTGTGTCTTTTGAAACTCCCATAGTACTTAGAATTATATATGTTTTCATTTTTTCATAAACAGCTTTGTCTTTTACTAATGCCCAGCTGCAACAACAACAAAAACACTTGAGATTTGTTGTGACCAATCCAAAGCTTTGTATAGAGTACTAGGAGAGTCAAAGTTAATAATCACTCGAATCTTGAGCCAGCATGACCTGTAGTCTTGGAGAGACTAAACAGGCTCAAATCTTCATCAACAGGATGTGTAATAGGTGAAAAATAAGGCCAGTAATAAGCATAATCATGAATGTATTTGACATTAGGACCATCAAGAACCGCTCTTTTAAGCTTCCCATCTGGATTATTCGGAGATGTCACTATCTCTATAACTTGTGTCATATTATCATTGCGCTCGCTCCTCTTCCACGCGGACGCATCTCCTTCAAACTTGAGATCGGCAGAATTAAAGAACTCTGCTTGGTCTTTGTTCATCTGCACACACACACACAAAAACTGACCAGAACCATATTGATTTGTTACATAAAGCCAAGAACAGAGCATTTTTTGCGTACATTGTAGTATGGAACAGAAGTCACAAGTCTTGAAGGAGATGATGATGATGAATTTGTTTGGGACAAGGCATGAACAGAAGCTGCAAGCAATTGTGTGGCTCCAGTTCCGAAGATAATGAATCTGTTATCAGTAACTGCATTTCCCACCACATTATGTAGCTTTCTAATGATCCTCTCAAGCTCTGCCGACACAAATAAGCCATAGCCGTGATAGGAATAACTCATCCTGTGCCATCCTGACTCAACAACCGCACTTCCCTCTGCGTTTCGAATCCAGAAAGGCTCCAAAAACAAAGGGTCTCCTCTTCAAATTCAAGAAAAAACTTTCTTTTTTAAGAAAACAAATTTTTAACATTTCGATGAAATTAAGTAAAGTGGAGGAAAGTTGTTACGAGTCAGCATCGACAGGACAATCTGGTACAAAGAAGGAGCAATCTTTGCCTGTGTAGCAATTATTGCACTCACAAGGAGGTTTATGGCCGTCAAGGACACCAAGACCGTCCACATAAGCTCTGCCATGGCCTGAGCAAGAAACAGAAGCTGCATCTTCTGCCTCCGAGGCGGCTCTATCGGTCCACGTTGGACTCCATGTGGTTGAATTATTATAAAGAATATGAACGGTGAATAGAAGATTCAAGATTATCGACACTGCAACTAGTAGCTTGTTATGCATCATCTTTAGTGGCCAAATGGAGGAGTCATTGATCGCTGAATTGTACAACTATTGAAAGAGTTGACTTTTGATAGTGAGGGGACAACAAGAGATTATTTTAAAACCAATGTGTATTTGAATAAGATTACATGTTTGTATCAATAGCACTCCCCTAATTTCTTAATCTATTATACTTTTTTTTTTTTTTTCATATTTTATGATGAGAATAATCTGCTCCGAAATATATATAATTCTCACGTTGACTGTTTAATATGAACCTCTAGAACTAAGTTTTTTCACATGTTTCACCGTTTTATTCCATAATGAATACTCTAAAATCCACGGATAGCCGAATCCGTAACGGGCCTGGTTACAATAAGATAAGCGTATAAACATGTTTCACCGTTTTATTCCATAATAAATATTCTAAAATTATCTCTTAGTTCAATTTTTCTTTCCGATTGTAAGTAAATTTAATTTTTAGTTTATAACTTCAAGACAGTTCAAGATTTTTGAACGGACCAAAAGAAATTAAGTGCATAATCTAAACAATAACTTTTATGCATCTGCTTATCAAACTAGCTTGGATGTACCAACATTTGTATGGCTTTTTTTTTTCCTCCATTTGTATGGCTTTTAACTAAGGTATAACTAAGGTATAAGGTTTTGATACGACGATTAAAAAAGTGTCTTGGCTCAGTTATCTCTGACTCTCAAGCAGCTTTCGTCCCGGGACGTAGCATCTCTGACAATGTTTTGGTAGCCCATGAGCTCTTGCACTCATTGAAATCCAGAAGGAATTATCAAGACGGTTATCTCGCGGTTAAAACTGATATAAGTAAAGCGTATGATAGAGTGGAATGGAATTTCTTGGAGAAGGTCATGCTACAATTGGGATTTGATAATAGATGGGTACAATGGATAATGGAGTGTGTTAGAACGGTCTCTTATGAAGTGCTCATTAATGGTTCCCCTTATGGACAAATACATCCATCAAGAGGTCTTCGACAAGGTGATCCTCACCTTACTTGTTCCTATTTTGTGCAGAAGTCCTAAGTCAAATGCTAAGCCAAGCAGAATGAGAAAAACGGCTTCATGGTATTAAGCTTGCGATGAACGGCCCGTCGATCTCACATCTTCTCTTTGCCGATGATTCTTTGTTTTTCTGCCGATCCACAACGGATAATTGTAAACAGTTGGCATCGATTTTTAAGACGTATGAGGAAGCGTCGGGACAAAAATTAATTTCACAAAATCTTCTGTTATTTTCGGCATGAAGACCACGGATACTAAGAGACGAAGACTTCAACGGATTCTGGGTATTACTCGAGTTGGGGGAGGAGGAAAATATTTGGGTCTACCTGAGCAGTTTGGTAGAAAAAAAGTAGAGATGTTCCAGTATATTGTTCAGAAAGTAAAGAATCGAACAGAGGGCTGGTCAAACAAATATTTATCACCAGCAGGAAAAGAGATTCTGATAAAGTCTGTGGCCATGGCTTTGCCGGTTTATTCAATGAACTGCTTCCAGCTACCGACTACTATTTACAATGAGATTAACAGTGTGATATCGTCTTTCTGGTGGGGAAAAGAAAACGGTAAAAAGAAGATTCCTTGGGTGGCTTGGCAGCGACTTTCAATCCCTAAGAAAGAAGGAGGTCTAGGGTTTAAAGATCTTCAACAATTCAATAAGGCCCTTCTAGCAAAACAAGCATGGCGAGTGTTGATGAACCCTACTAGTCTCCTAGCACGTCTTTATAAAGGATTATATTACCCACATACTACTTATCTAAAGGCGAATAATGGAAGTCAAGCCTCGTTTGGATGGAGATCACTCCAAGAAGGTAAAGTCCTACTTCAACAAGGTTTAAGAGTGCGTATTGGGGATGGAAAAAGCACCCGCATATGGGATGATCCCTGGATGCCAACCTTGCCACCAAGGCCTGCAAACGGTCCGATCCTTGATATAGAAATGATAGTGGCGGATCTTTGGAAGATCAATAAACGAGAATGGGATCCGGTGATCTTTGAAGGAGTCCTTAATCCGGAAGATCAACAGCTTGCGCTTGAACTTTATTTATCTCAATATGCTGCGAATGATACCTATGAATGGGCTTATACTAAATCAGCACAATACTCAGTTCGTTCGGGTTATTGGGTAGCAACTCATTTACAAATACCGGAAGAAGAGATCATCCACCCACCAAAAGGATCCATTGATTTGAAAAATGAGATATGGAAGCTTCGTCTAGCCCCAAAGATTCAACATTTTCTCTGGCGATGTCTATCAGAAGCTTTACCTACAACTACTCAACTTCGAACAAGAAACATACTCGCTGACCCGATATGTCAAAGATGTTGCTTAGATGAAGAAACAACTAACCACATTCTCTTTATGTGCCCTCACGCTCAAGCAGTGTGGAGATGTGCCAATATTGATATCAATCACCATGTAACTCCTCTTGGTGATTTTGAGGATAATCTTCATAGGATAGTTTAGATGGGAAAGATTCAGTCTCTACCTCTTCATAATCAACTGCTGCCTTTTTGGATAATGTGGAGGATATGGAAATCAAGGAATGATTTTCTCTTCCAAAAAGTTAATCGCAGACCAGAGAGTACAGCTCAAAAAGGGATTCATGATGTTAATGATTGGATAGCAGCAACTCAAGAACAAGAAGAAGAGACAAGGACTTTATCAACATCGACAGATCCACCTCCGAGAAGAAGAAACAGAGACGGCCAGTGGTCTCTATTAGGGATAATATTATCCCACATTGGAAAGGACAATGGATCTTGACTAGTATATAAGATATATGGGCCTCTCCACTCATTGCCAATTGGTTTTGAGTTGGAAGCTCATATTCTAATATGGTATCAGAGCCCGATCCGTACATGTCCAAATCCAATCCACCATCGGCCCGGCCCAATAGTTAGCCCGCCGATCCATGCTCTAGCATACCGAGATCAATGGCTAGAGCCATCATCTCGAGGGGGCGTATTAGGGATAATATTATCCCACATTGGAAAGGACAATGGAGCTTGACTAGTATATAAGATATATGGACCTCTCCACTCATTGCCAATTGGTTTTGAGTTGGAAGTCCATATTCTAATAGTCTCCTCCTCCAACCGGTTGGATCAAGTGCAACTTCGACAGTGGGTTTTTTCAAGGATGATCATTTACAAATATGGGATGGATTTTCAGAGATTGTCGTGGTCAAGTCATTCTCTCCGGTTGTGCGAGACTTCAATCCTCTACTTCGGCTCTTCAAGCTGAAGCCTTGGGATTTTTACATGTTCTTCAAGTTGCATAGGCTCATGGATTCCGACATGTTTGGTTCGAGGGAGACAACCTAGAGCTCAACCATTTGATTAACAAGGGAGGCGATCATCTCAACCTAAGTACTCTACTATACGACATTCGTGTTTGGACGTCGAAGCTACCACATTCATCGTTGGGACATGTAAACAGGGAGAAAAATGATGCAGCAGATAGGATGGCTCGACAAGCTTTGGAAATGAATGAGTTGTATCATATTTTTAATTCACCACCAATTTTGGCTGGTTGACTATCTGTATAACTCTAATATGAATTAATAAAGAAAGCTAGATGTTAAAAAAATAAAATAAAACAAAGGTATAATAGTCTTTTGTTATAAATTGGATAGATAATTATCCAATTATCTATCTCTTTATGATTATCCATTATTGAAGATTATCTATATTGTTTTACTTCTCAATTAAGTAATGTATAAGGCTTGGTGCCCAAGCTATTAAATGCTTATCCATTCTATAGTCCCTCTATATATATGCCTTGTACGAGCAAAGTGAATGGAATAGAAGGTGAGAGAAGATGAGTTATAAAGTTTTTCATTGTATTGCTCTCTCTCTCTACGTTTTCAATCTTTCTTAATAATTGCTCATACACATACCATAAAATAATATTATATATAAAGAGTTATGTTTTATAACACGTTATCAGCACGATGTCTTTACCGCTTGAGAGTTTACGAGGTAAGTAAAAATTTCTATTATTTAATTTGTTTATGTTTATAGAACATAATTATTTTAGACATCGTGAGACTATGCTTCTTTTTTTTCCGGTTTGATTGTTATAAGTGGTAGGCTCTGCCTCCTTCACGATCAATTAAAAAGCTATGTCTTTTCCGGATAGATCGTTATATATAGTAGGCTATGCCTCCTTTACGATCAAATGAATGGCTATGCTTTTTCCGGATTGATCGTCATATATGGTAGGTTTTACCTTCCTAACGATCAAATGAAAATTTATATTTTTTCCGGATTAATCGATATATATGGTAGGCTCTGCCTCCTTCTCTACGATCCAACGAAAGCTATGCCTATTGAATTCTTAATGGAAGGCGATGCCTCCTGAATTCTTGTATAATAAGGCTTTGGTCTCTATATTATTAATTTTATGAATTTATGTATTTAATTATTTTTATTTATTTTATTCATAAAGAATAAATATATGTGTTATATGAGATTTAAAGACTTTGAAATATGTCTTTAAAATCAAAAGTATAATTCTCTTATGAGAATATATAAAGCACGTGTCAATATATTTTTAGACAGTGCAAAATAATTGGAAGGTTTAGATAAGCTAGTCTCTCGACTTCCAAATACATCAGATTCATAATAATCGATGCTTCGTGTTCTCCAAAGTCTCAAAGAAACTCTTGGAGTTTCAAAGACATTTATCTTTGTAATTATTATATTGAGACTATAAATAAATGTGGTATCGAATGTTCGACCACAATGGAGACACGCATATGTATGATTATATCATGCAAAATAAAGATGGCAAAAATTATTTTTAATAGTAAACCTGAAGTTTACTAATGCTTTAAGCATAGTATAATTGGTCAAGCCCTCCCGGTATAACAATGAAATTAATAATGATGATCCAAATCCAGGATATGTATCAATGCCAGTAAGGGCCTGATTGGGAGAAAAACAAAATGCAATGTATTGAATTGCTCTCCCATAATAAAAGAGATGTCGTTGGACATCTTGTCACTACATCTAAAGATTAAAACTCGAAAGAGATTTTTAAATAAAGACACAAGGGCATATTTTATTATTAACATACCCTTTCTTTAATAAATAATCGATCAAACGATTACACCACATGCATCTTGATTATTTTAATCCGTAAAGTGATCGCTGTAATTTGACCGTATATATTTCTATAAGACTTTGAGTCTAATGCCTCTCTGGAACTTTAAATCCTTCTCGGATTCTCATGTATATATTGTTGACCTTAATTGGAACTCAAAAAGAGTGATTAAACATCACTAAAAATTTATGTAAAGAAAGAGAAGCTTATTCAAGCACTGCATGCTTCCGTCCATATTTCTGAGGTAACATTTAATTTATGTTAAATTTATTTAAATTCATTTATTTTATATTATATCGAGTAGAAGGTTGCATACCTTCTCTTTAATTCTGTAGTAGGCTATGCTTCCAGAATCATATGGTTTTTGGCCAAATTGCCATTTTTTTAATTTAATAAGCTCATTGATTTCCTCAATAAACCTCAAATTAAACCCCGAATATAACCAATCTAAAATAAGATTCGGTCCAAGCTAAATAGGTTTAAAAAGCCATCATCTTGAGAAGAGGTATTACAAGTCCCACATTTTTATAAGGATCTAAGATTAAATACATGATCCAGATTGGATATGTTGTTGATCCTAAAGTGGGATTCAATTTGAGATGAATGAACTCGAAGAGTTATCATTTCGAGGGGGAGAATTAGAGGAATCCCACATCGACAATAAGTCGATAAATTTTAGTGAGTTTGACACCCCAGAGCGAGATAACTCTGGTGAAGTCATATCCTGAAATTTATCACTTTATGATAAAGTGGAACATCTAAAAATGATGTTCACTCTCAAAATGAGCTTTAAGAGAATCGTTCATAACGCAAATCCAAGAGATTGCAAAAACGATTCATGGTGATTTAATCTCCATATTTTTATATGGAGCATGCAGATTTGCATGTATTAGTGATTATATACAAGGCCAACAATTTATAAGAAATATTTCTCCCATGTTATATATACATGATTGGAAATCAAATATTTCTCATTTTGAATTTTATATGGGTGTGAGATATATATAAATGCTCCTCTGCACCGCATAAAAATTAACATCCTAAAAGGATGAAATATATATATAGACGCTAGAGATGAGTCTCTGCTCTATAATATTGAGCCATCTTATGAGAGATGTGCCTATTGCAAGATTTGCATATCATCTTGTTGATGATAAAAGTTTCCCATCATTATGGGAGAATCATTGAATAGTTAAGATCTTTTAACAAATGACTATAATAAATATGAACGTAAGAGTTCAAAGTTCAAATAGATCACTATTAATAATAAATTGCAAATCAAATGCAAAAAGCTGATGGATGAGATTTCATAAATTATTGATCCTCGTATAAATACATATGAACTTAAAGTTCATAGGAAATCTCTTGTCCTAGCTAAAAATGCTCTACAAAATTATGTCTCTGGCGGATGACATATTATTGTCTATAACACGATAAAAACGTGATAGACAACTTTGGTTCCAAATATAAAGAAAATCCTCGAAAATAAAAGAGGAGCATATAGACTTCTAAAGAGAAGCATAAAGACTCCTCAAGAAGAGCAAAGAGACTCCTAAAGAGGAGTAAAAAGACCGATTGTCATGGTTAATAACGAAACCAGGTACCTGAATAAAATCATTTATAATGATTAAGAGATCTCGATTAACCATGTCATTACGGCAAATATGGAACCAAAGACAACATAATGTTGACAATAAAAATGATCTAGCGCGCAACTGTAATTAATGAGGATCATAAATCTCCGCTCTGTGAGCGTAAAGAGATATATATTGGCCAATAAACAAAGACGCAGCCAAGTCTATATTAATCTCGTATAAGAAACGAGTAATTCTTGGACACATGGTCCAAGCATCAAAAGAGTATTATAATACTTAAGACAAGACGGTGTGTCGCGCCGGGTTTTGTCAAAATCACTCGATATTGAGTTGATGAATAAATGACTTGAATTGCGCCTTATGGGATGTCTGTAGGACTAATCCCTAAAAAATATATGATATCATAGTTATATTCCTGGGAACTTATAAGCATGATGTTTTTGAACATCATCAAAACTCTTAAAGAGTTATTTGGAATAAAAGATCTTGGAAAGACAAAAGTGTCTCCAAATATTCCAACCAAACATCTAAAGAAACAGATGTTATATTAGTCACGTCTAAGGAAAGTCGACTCTATATAGTTAGATCATGAAACACTATATATAAATGCTGACGAGTATTTATATATTTTGTGAATTGTAGCTAGCATATATAAATGCTGACGAGCATTTATATATCTAGTGAATATATTATACCTAGCATTTGCTACTGATCTACTTGCAGGATTAGTTGATCTCCTTCGACTAGACCTTGAATGAGTTCAAATGTGTCTTCCATATCTGCAAGGTACGATTGACTTGGGTTTATTTTATTCTAGAAACTCCGAGTTTGGTTTAGTTGGTTTTGCAGATGGAGAATCTATATCAGATCTGTCTAAATTATATCGCAAAACAACAAATTCGTGGCGTTTTCAACAACAAATTTTGGTCATCGCTTGTTCAAGCCATACCAAAATTATTACGCTCCATGAATCATGTTGAGAATCTATATAGCTCAGACTGATGCACTCAACATATATAATAAGCAAGCAATATAGGCACCAGTGAAGAGCCAACAACAAGACATTGTTGCATGTGTCGCCCATTTCAAAGGAAGCTATGTCAAGATCGATATGACAAGACATGTTCTTCCAAGATTCTTCTCATGCACTCAAAAATCTGAGAAGAAGCAAGAAGTTGATGTTCAGTACATCCGGCCAAGTAACAATGTGGCAGTTTCAGTTCAAAAGCACTTCATGCTACGTCATTCAAAATGCATCTTTTGAAGATGAAGCTTCCAAGGGGGAGTTATATGATGATGAGCGTGGCTGCACTCTTTTTCCCTTATCATGGTTTTTATCCCACTGGGTTTTTCCATGACAAGGTTTTTAACGAGACAGCAAATAACACGCAAAAGATAGACATCAAAGTGAAAGTCTATCTCTCTTCCAAAATCTTTGTTATATATTGACAAGATCATAAGGAACGAAGAGAATGATCAAGATGCATCATCTACGAAACTTATGAAGAAAACAAGGTTCGTCTTTTCCAGGGGGAGATTGTGTTACTGTACTCTTTTCCTTTATCATGGTTGTTATCCTATACGGTTTTTCTATGATAAGGTTTTTAACGAGGCAGTACACAATACATTGATGGTAATGGATAATCAAGGGAAAGTGTTATAAATTGGATAGATAATTATCCAATTATCTATCTCTTTATGATTATCCATTATTAAAGATTATCTATATTGTTTTACTTCTCAATTAAGTAATGTATAAAGCTTGGTGTCCAAGCTATTAAATGCTTATTCATTCTATAATCCCTCTATATATATGCCTTGTACGAGCAAAGTGAATGGAATAAGAAGGTGAGAGAAGATGAGTTATAAAGTTGTTCATTGCATTGCTCTCTTTCTACGTTTTCAATCTTTCTTAATAATTGCTCATACACATACCATAAAATAATATTATATATAAAGAGTTATGTTTTATAACATCTTTTTAGTATTCAAAATTTGGTGCAACTATAAGATCGAGTGTAAATAATGAAATTTTAAAGGGTATAATAGTCTTTTACATATTAAGTATTTTCTATAGCCAAAAATGAGCTATATAAACCGAACCAAAAAAAACCCTAGCTTTCGCTGTTGTATCTATACTGAAGAAGAGAAAGCTTGAAGACGGCGAGAGCTCCATCTTTTCACAGGCACTTCTTCTCTACAATTCACAATGGTAATTAGGGTTTACGCTTTCCTTCGCTTATCTCTTAATCTCTTCTTCAACAACAAGTACTATATAACTCAGATTTATTACTTCGATTTCCTGATTCCGATCGATCTACAATAGTAGCTTAGCCTTTTTCCGTTCAAATCCATATCTAATGGAAATATTAGGTTTCATGAATCGAAAAGCCAAGTATCTTTTGTTCTTCTCTCGAACCTGTTGATTTTGATGTAATTGTGTGAATTTGTTACTGTTTGTAGTCTCTGGTTGCAAATGAGGAGTTCCAGCACATTTTGCGTGTGCTCAACACTAACGTTGATGGTAAGCAAAAGATTATGTTTGCCCTTACCTCTATCAAAGGTATTGGGAGGCGATTGGCCAACATTGTCTGCAAGAAAGCCGATGTCGACATGAACAAGAGGTATTCTTTGTCAATCAGAATTCAACCTTTAGAAAGTCAGAATCGAAATTAGTTTGCATCGGATAGATTAGTCGTTGATTGTCAGTGGAACTATATTGACTGTAAAATAGCTAGTGTGTATGCAACATATATGTGTATACCAATATGCTGTCTTACCAGTGGATTTGGTGTCTAATTTTGATCTCAACTCTTCAGGGCTGGTGAGTTATCTGCAGCTGAGATTGACAACCTCATGACTATCGTTGCAAACCCAAGACAGTTCAAGATTCCAGACTGGTTCTTGAACAGACAGAAAGATTACAAGGACGGGAAGTACTCTCAAGTTGTCTCCAATGCCCTTGACATGAAGCTCAGGGATGATCTTGAACGTCTCAAGAAAATCAGGTAAATTCATAGTGATCCCAATTCATATAATTAACTCACTGTCCTCTTGGATTTTATCTAATGGATGGTTTTAAATTTTCTTACGCTGAGCAGAAACCATCGTGGTCTAAGACATTACTGGGGTCTCCGAGTCCGTGGACAACACACCAAGACCACTGGTCGCAGAGGAAAGACTGTTGGTGTGTCTAAGAAGCGTTAAGCCAATGTTGCTGGTGGAAGCTGGGTTGGTTTATTGATAAGAACCGATTTTAAGTTTTGTGATTCGTACAATTTTGCTCGACTCGACTTTGGGTCTTTTATAAGAGATATTTACTACCGTTTTATTACTCTTAAGATAATATTTTGTTACTGGATCCTTGTGTCACTTCTCTAGTTGCATGATTTTTCAGTTGGCTTAATTTTTCTTCCAAGTTACTAGGATGCAAGTTGAGTAATGAGTACTAAAAAACATACTGTCAAAATAGGGACTTGAAGATTGTGCAAATTTAAAACTACTGATATATTTGGATGTAACCTTCTTCGTACTCCTTTGGTTTATCTGTCTCAACAAATGGATGTAACCATTTTGGTACTCAAATGTATAACCTTGGAACAAAGAGCTTAGAGAGATTGAAATTTTGCTACTCTATCGGCTGTGTCATTACTTTATCGAGGCTGGAAGGTGAAAGTGGCCGTGTCAAAGTTCTTTACTTAGCTTTGCAATGTCTTAATAGATTGGTTGGAGAGCGCCAAGCTTGCAGAGTTAGTAGAGCTTTTATGACATTTAGTATCGGATTCAAAAATGGCACGCTTGAACTCGAAATTTGTAACATAGAACTGCCCATCGCAGGGCTTCTATTTCTGCATCCATAGGGCAGTTGAGTCTTGGCAGGGCACAAGCCATCTTACATTACACTTCAAAATATCGTGACAAGGGATCCAAGTTACTACTGGCCCTGCTTGTGAGGGATCCTCCTCTTCTTTTTGTTCAGGTTGAGTTGAGAGCTATTCCTCCAATGCTTTATCTGCTGTTTCCTTTGCTGAATAGTCGTGACCTCGGTCCACGAAGTCTAATTCGGAATGGACCCATGGACAAAGATATCGATACCTCCATAACAAGGGAAGTGTTCTTTGATTTACAGAACCTGGATAGGATCCATGGATATGAGTTGTGTATCTGCTTCTCCTGCGGGAAGTCCTTCAGCGAGAACAGCTGATTTAAGTTTGCAAATAAGGAACGCAGCTCACCTCCAATTTTTCAGCATCCTCCCTTGGAGAATATATTTTGGATTAAGTTTTGGTTTTACTCTCTTGCATTTTCAACCAGTACCTCTGAAACCTCTAGATCTAGATACTTATATTCACACAGATATCTGTTTTTTCAAGACAATAATCTAGGGGTCTAGGTGGTTTGTCAGATAACCAGACCACTGGTCTTCCGATGGCCTGAACACATAAGAGCATGTGCAGCATGTAGTATGATTATCGGTAATAAACAACCCTAGATAAAAAAAAATGAATTTCTTATTGCAATATGGGAAGCCGTGCGTTGATGTAACTTGATTCCGCAAAAATGCATTACAAAAATCTCAATCGTCTGTATGAGAAAAATCGCTTTCTTTCGCACTAAACCAAAATTTAGCACGAGAATCATAAATTAAACTAAAAAAAAAGAACAATTCAAAACAGAGATGTAACTATGTGATGTTCCTGATAATTTACTACTTACTACTAGGCTTTGTCTTCGTTGTCGTCCGAATCCGAAGCAGCTCCAAGTTTCTGTTGACGGGTCGTTGGAAGAGAATAGTTTCGTCGCTCTTTGCCTCCTGGCTTCGAAGAGGCATTACCGTACCAGATCATACCCAGTACTGCAATTATCATTCCAACAACCACGTGCAAGTTTAGACCTTCTCTACCAAAGAAGAAGAAGCCCATTATCAGCACTAGGATCGTCTTCATGTGTCCTAGGACTTGGAACGACACAGCCGTGAATCTCCCAATGCAGATGAACTGGCTTAGGTTGGTTCCGATCGCTATTGTGCACGACAGGGTTATAAACAGCTGCAGAATTCAAGAACAAGTTAGGTTCAAATGAGTTTATACCGTGTGGGATCAACGCGATCTGGCCTTAAGAGAGCATAGAGAAACAGTTCTTAAGTTCAGTAAAAAATGCATTGTAACAAGGTAGACTCATATGGAATCTGCTTGGCTCAGTATGCTGAGTCTAAACACGGTTGGAACCAAACAACAAAAATACAAAGAGACTATCACAAGATTCATAAGGTAGTGCCGAATATTATTGGCATTGACATAATGACGCGATTTAGTTTTGCGAGGAGAGTCAAGTATGAGACTAGGTGATGTAACTTATTGAGGTTTATGGCACTTACCACTGAGACCAAGTTGTAGTCGTACATGTCTACTCTTTTTTCTGTCAGCCAATAATCAAGAAATGGGCCAACTACCAGCAATGTTGCAGCTTGGGCTGGAGCGGTATGTCCCAATAGGTTGAATGAGTTAAGCGAGTACTTGCGCTGAAGGTAATGTACATACTGCATCATGTAAAAACCACACCATTATTAGTTTTGTGTTAAACAAAGGAACAATATGTTATTTCGTAAGAGCACGAATGCTTTAAGAACACTTACGTATTGTTGCAGAGCAGTACTCCACACGGCAACGAAAGCAGCTACAAAGCCTTTAGTGTTTACACTAACATCAGTAACAGTGCAAACACCAACACCCACAAGAACCAATCCTATGCTAAGCTTTGTGTCTCTGGAGTAACGAATCTTATCGAATACCATTTCCAACAAACAGGATACAGGAATCATACTGAGCTTGGCAATCTGACACGCAAAAAACAGAACACCATGAAATCGCGATAAGATGTTTTTCTTTGCGCAAAGGTACAGAGCTAGATGGTGTCTCTATTACCTGATAAAAACCGACAGAGTTCCACATAAGACTGACATTCATTCCAACAATCGAGAAATTCGCAAACAGAATAAATCTCAAAAGCTCCGTAAACGGAAGATGAGAAGGCTGAATGTAACCAAGACATCTTAAAACAATCGTCATCAGAGTCGTTGTAGCGAAATGTAAACCGGTTAAGGTTGTAGCTGCAGCGAGTTTGCAACACAAAAAGTAAGAAGAACAGCTTCAGGTTTTAAAGAATAAGGCTTCAGTAAGAACAAAAGAGATCATCTTACCAAAGCTATAACCATAAGTAGCCATTAAAGCTTTATTAACAATGATGATACCAACAGAAGTGACGACATTGAACATCCACGCAGCTGCATCTACTGCTGCCTTCTTATCAGCTTTACTCACAGGAGCCATTTTTTGATCTTTCTCTCTTCCTCAATCAGTGAATCTCTTACTTCTTCAATCTCCCATTCTCCAGAAGACTCACTTTCCGCTAAAGAATCTAGAAAAGAATCAAGAGTCATGAAGCTATCACAGAATCGAAAATCGTAAAACCAAGAACTAGCCTCAAACTCATTGAATTCGATCGCGATCGCAAATCAACAGTATATTTGAATGTAGTACGATTCGACCAATTTCGATCAGATCGGATCCGGCACCGGAGATTGGAATCGGAACGAATTTTTCATTAGATCTAAGATGATAGATCAATAATCTCGACAAAGCAATTCACTGATTGAAATCAAATCTGAGGAGAGGAAACAAATTGAAGAGAGAAGAAGGAGAATCGGAGGATACGGCGTGGAGTTACCTTGAGAGGAGAAAAACGGAAGAAGATAGCAAATCGGAAATGAATCGTGCGGAGATGATCGGAGCACCGGCGAGAGTGGTAGAAATCGGAGGTAATCTGAAAAAGGCAGTTGGGAAGCGTAGGGCTCGTGGAGCGAGAAGAGAGAGTAATGTTTAAAGCAAATTCGTTATTGTTATTTATTTTTTAAGTTTTTATTTCTCAATTTTCATATTTGGAATACACAGTTTTTTTAAAAACGTATCTAATTAGTATATGTGTTGGTGCAAATAAATATTAAAAGATGTTTTTAGTCATGAGATCATATACAGTATAATGCGAGCCAAAATCATAAAGAGAGATTTAATTGGTTCAAAAATCCAAAATTTTCTTATAAAATATATATATATATATGTTTGATATAATTCATGTTTGATTATCACTTTAGTAGTCATTTAAGAACGAAACTATGTCATTTATCTGGACCATGTGCATGAAATGATTATTAGGTACACGATTATAACATTTTAGTTACAAAATTTATTGTATGTAAATGTATTATCTGGAGTAGGCCTGGGCGTTTAATCCGAAACTAAAAATCCGAACTGGATCCGAACCGAAAAAATCGGATTAAAACCCGAACCGCATCCGAGAGAATAACCGATCGGTTATTGATTTTTATATCCATCGGATATCGGATAATACCCGATTTGATCCGATATCCGATGGGTATCCGAACACATCCGAATTCTCCTCTAGAACTCCAGTCCCTAGCAATACGAGATCAACTTCCCTTATTTCGATTTTCCTTGTAATACGGGATCCATTTCCCTAATCTTAATTTTCCTACTTCTTTATTCTTTAGGATGTTATGGTTTACTTTCGTTTTAAAACTTTGATGTATTGGCATGGTTTTATACTTTTATGTCTCATTTTGGTTTCGAAACTCTATGGTTTGATATGGTTTCATGTTAGTTCAACTAGTCAATTCAGTTTTGTTTTGCGGTTTTCAGATTATTCAGATTATTTTTAGATTTTTTGGTTAAATTGGATATTGAATATCATATCCATACCGATCCAAAATCCGAAATATCCAAACCGAAATCGATCCGAATTCTATAATTATCCGTACGGATATTAGAATCTATATCCAAAAAAACAAAATTCGAAAAAACCGATCCGAATCCGATCCGATAACCGAACGCCCATGCCTAATCTGGAGTGCGAGAACTGTTTTTGTATTTTTGTTTTGTTTTTTTTTAAATGATTAATTCATTGATCATGGAGCCAAAACATAATGATGTACAAATTGTAGTAAGGAAGTTAAAGAGAAAGCGAAAACCAGAGCCAAACTAGTGGTTGTAAATCAAAACAAAAACAAAGAAACAAAGTTTGTGATTTAGATGTTTCCCATAAAGAGGGGTGATGCTGCAAACCATTTATGGAGTAGATTACTAGTAGTACCGGTCCGGTAAAATTCAAGACCAAATACGAAAAAGATTGGGGCTTTTTAAAAAATAAAAACTGCTATTTTTTTTATTAATTATGAGACATTCATAAATTTTATTTATTATTTTTTCTAAAACTTTTTTTTTTTTTTGTTGAAATGTGTAATTTATATTTCAAAGTGGGAAATATTTACATTGTTAAAAAGAAATAGACTACAACAGAGCTTAGGAAGAGAATAAAAAAACAGAGCATGCTTGTGACGTAGAAGAAACAGAGGACCCGGAGTCTTCTATGGCTTAACCATGAGCCACCGTTGCAGCAACAGTCGTAGACATGGCTTGATGGGGTAATCCAATGATGAGATTCTATTACGAACCAGCTTCTCACTATGGCGGATCAATTGAGCTATTTGCAGACCTCCATTGTTGTGGATGCGAGTGTTGCGTTCGCGCCATAACACGTAAATACTAACCTGGAAGCATAGCCGGAGCAGTATGTCCCGAAGCTTGTCTCCCGTATGGCTCCGAATTGCAGCCACTGTCTCTTCCCAGTCCGGAGTTAAATTATGGCGAAGCAGTTTCCCGGCTAGCGATGACCAAAGCATGTAGGAATACGGACACGCAAAAAATAAATGATCGCGAGTTTCATCCATTTCACCACAGAACACACATGGTTGATGTTGTCCCCATAGGCGCATTCGATCCCCTGTTGACAAACGGTTTTGGATTGCAAGCCAAGAGATGAAACCACATCGCGGAATCCCTTGACCAAACCAAATGAGATTTCTCCAGGGCACTAGTTGGTGACGTTCCCGAACTTGTTTCCATGTTTTAAAGGATTGGAACTGGTCCGTGAAGGCGTTCACATCAACTCTCCATAGAAACCGGTCCGTACCTCGAGAGACATGAGGTATAGGGGCAGCTCGTATGGCGTGCAGGAGTGGGTAGAGAGAGGCTGATCTTGTACGGTGCAGTTTCCAGCCTTGGGGGCCTGTCGCCTCCTTGACTGTTGCGTGTAGTGGAACACCTAATTGTCGAGGTCCCGCGGGGCCAATAATGGCGAACAAGCAGCCCTGCGGCAGCCATGAATCAAACCAAAAAGACGCAGTGTCCCCATTACCAATCTCCACGCGAATGAATGGTTTGATGTCTTCCCTAAGCTTTAGAAGCTTTTTCCAAATCCAAGAACCCAGAGTTGAGCTTGGAGCTGACCAGAAAGACCCACCCTTCATCAAATTTGTCTTAGTCCAAGCCACCCAAAGAGAGCCCGATAGTGTAAATAACCTCCATATTAACCGGTAAGCAAAGACACGAGAAACATCACGCAATCTTCGCAGACCCAGACCTCCTTCCGCCTTTGGCTTACAAACCTCCGTCCAAGCTACTTTAGCCCTCGTCGAGACATTAGGATTACCCGACCAAAGAAATGCTCCACACATCCGTTCAATTTCTTCAAAACATCTTGCCGGCAATCGAAAAACAGAGCACCAGAAATTGGAAATGCTAGCTATTACCGAAGAAATTAGCTGCAACCGTCCCGCATAAGATAAGTGCTTATTGGTCCATGAGAGAAACCGAGAACGAATCTTGTCAATAAGAGGTGCATAGTCATGTGCCGTCATAGATTTTGTTGTGAGTGGCAATCCCAAGTAACGAATAGGGAGAGATTCCTTGGGGATGCCATGAGAAGCAGCAGCTTCCAATAATGCATTATTTATTCTCCCACCCACATAGATCGCTGACTTGGTAGTGTTAATATGTAGACCCGACATCCGTGAAAACTCATCAAAGACCCGAATGGTTTCTTGTAAAGAGGAAGGACGCCCGTCAGTAAATACCATAATATCATCGGCAAAACTTAAATGAGTGACATGAACATGATCGCAGCGAGGGTGTCTGCCTATGGCGCTACGGGATGCTGCACAATTGAGAAGCCGAGATAGAACATTTTGTACCATTACGAATAGGTACGGGGATAAAGAACAGCCCTGACGAATCCCTCTACTACTTGGGAAGAAACCCTCAAGCTCGCCATTAATAACCACAGAGAATGAGGCGGTAGAAATGCAGGCATTAATCCATCTAGTAAACACTTCCGGGAACCCTAGCGCCTGAAAAATAGACAGAATAAAAGACCATTGTATCGTGTCAAAAGCCTTCGATATGTCAAATTTTATAGCACTTCGAGGGGCAATCGATTCCTTGTGGTAGTCTTTCACAAGCTCTGTAGCTAAAAGAACATTCTCCAATAGTAATCGCCCTTTAACAAACGCACTTTGATTCGGCTCAATAAAATCCGGTAAGAGCAGCTTTAATCTGTTGGCCAATATCTTTGATACCACTTTATATAACATGTTGCAGCAGGAAATCGGTCTATAATCTTTTATCGTGGAGGAGGCAGCTCCTGGATTTTTAGGAATAAGAGCAAGGAGAGTAGCATTAACCGAACGCGGCATTTGGCCAAAGAGGAAGAAAGACTGCACTGCAACCACAAAGTCTGACCCTATTACACTCCAGGCTGCAACATAAAACTCCTTTGTGTATCCATCCGGTCCGCATGCTTTACCGGAAGGCAGTGAAAACAGAGCTTTTTGAATTTCCTCACTAGACACCGGTGAGACTAGCTCAGAACAGCGCGAGGAGGAGCATCTGTAGTTCAGCAAGCTTCTTAGGGAATCCAGTGGAATCTCGTCAAAGTCGTCAACCTCTCGCTGAAGGAAATCCCGGAAATGACGGGCTGCTTCAGCTTTTATCGCTGTCGGTTCAGTAAGGACTTCGCCTGACTCCAATGTGAGACTTCGCACTGCATTTCGTCATTGTTTATTAATTATGAGGTTTTTTACTAATTAAGGAGTATTTTGTTAATTATGAGGTTTTTCTGCTAATTTTGAAATTATTTTTTGCTAATTTTGGGGCGTTAAAAAAAAAGAATATTCTCCACAAAAATGGGCCTCAAAAATATGAGGCTCAATACAAATGTATCCTACAAATTAGTGCAGGGTCGGACTTGTCACGAACACACGAGAATATAGTGCAATCGAGATAAGATATTGATTACGGATTAGCTTGTGAATTTGCTAGTATGATGATCGAATCCGTTCCGGTGAATCATAGCATCATATGAGATAAATTGTCGTTTGATGTTAGGAAATAGGCAGGCAAACAAGAGATGATCTCTTCAATCTTCATACATCTGATTCATCGCATAAAACATATGTTTATAGCTATCTCTAACCACGCATTCGAGTACTCGTCGATAGTCGATTATGCATAGCTAACAAAGTAAAAGAAAAACCACACTGGGCATCCTTTGGCCAAACTACCACTTTGTTATTATAACAAAGTGTTTTCTAATTTGATCGCACATATGTAGAGTCAAGAATTGTGGTCTGAAATCATCTATGCCTTGGCTCCATAATAACTGATCTTGTCCCTTTGAATCATTATGGAAGGGATAATAAGCTCATATTTGTGCCAAAAATTTTCTAAACCACACTAAAATTTTAAATCTATTGTAAAAGTCAACAAAAGAGGCAAACGTAAATGTCAATAATATACGTATACACATGCGTTAAACGTTACGTTAATATGAAGTTCACGTCACTATGTACGCATAATAATTTACTTTTTACGTTTATATAAACGATCGAATTCGTTCGTTGTAAAATCACAATTCGCATTGCTTCAATTAGAAGAGAAGTAATAATCTCTCTCTCATCTCTTTATTTTCAGTATTCTGATCTTTCTGCAAATATAAATTCTTTCTCCATTATTTATATTTATATAAACTATAAAATAAAGTAATTATTTATAACAAAATCATATAATTTTAATATTAAATTAAAACTGTAAAAATCTAATATTATTATATATAAAAGTAAAAGATTATTATATGTGCTTTGCTTTTTCCATCACAAAGGAAACCAAACCAACAAGGCCCATCAATTTTTCAAATCTCTCGTTCCTCTCACTATCTGTCTCGCCGTTACTCTCTTTACGCTGCCGCCGGCATTCTCTCCGGTACGTCTCTCAGATCCATCCGGTGAATCTTCACCATCCTCGTTTCTTCTCCATTTAATTACCCAATCTCAAAAATCATTTATTTTTCTAAATCTGAAGATAAATCACACTTACGAAGTCTTTTAGATTCCAAAGCATTATCTTGAACTTGTCATAGATTTAGTTTCTGATACTGAATCAAGCCTCTTTCTTTTTCCTGTTTTCTGGGTTTTTTAGTCGAATTACATAACTATGATTCAACTAATGATTTTGATTTATGAACTTTGGTTTAGGGGTTTGAAGTGTGTGTACAAAAAATAAAACTGTTGTTGGAATGTGCAAATGAGACATTATTGGAAATGTTATTTGCAGCAGAAGGAGGAGGATTCTTCTCTTCATCAGCTTCTGGTTATAGCAATGGTTTAGCCCTTCTTCTATTAGGTCAAAAGAATGAACAAAAGCCTATCAAGGTCTCATCATCACAATGGAACCATTATCATTTAGTGGTTGAAGAATCTGATACCGGGTTTCGGTTAGATTCGTCTAAGAATTGGCTCTCTTGTGCCTGCACTTCACTTATATGTTTTGGTCGAAAATCCGAAAAACTTGAAAGTCCATCTGATATTCGAGTCAGCCCGTCTAACTCTTCGGTTTATCGCGAGGGGAAGAAGGATGAGGCAGTGGCACCGAGTGTGGAGTATAATTGTGAAGTTACTAATAGGTTTGCACTTAAAAGCAGCTTGAAGAAGCGGTCATTTAGCGATGTTGTGATTGGTGATGATGATGTGAGTAGAGATGGTGTGGTGGATCATACAGATAGAAGGAAAGTGCAGTGGCCTGATACTTGTGGTATTGAGATTGCTGAGGTCAGAGAATTTGAGCCTAGGTATGGATGCTTTCTCTTATGATAGTAGATTCGGTTTGATCAATCTTTCCATGTGTAGCTAGCAGATGTAAGTTCTGGTTTATGTTGGAGTAGGGAATAACCTGTTTTCCATAACTGCAGATACATCTCATAGGAAAAAAACTGCTGGTTAAAATGATTTTGGGAACATCTTTTATCATGATCTTACCGCAATCTTCCATGTAAACTTAAGCTCCCAGTGTAGTAGAGTGAGATGTACTATTAATAACACTCTAGATCATGAATAAGCAACAGTTTAATAGATCCACAAAGTCTGTAGCTCATTCTTGAATAGAAACTACTCATAACTTCCTTTAGTAGACTAGTTATGATTATTCTTTGCCACAATGGTTTTTTGGTTCTTAAGAAGTTAGTTGTGTTGAAATTGTGTAATCATTCGCGTTTTCGTCTTTCTTTTCTCTTGCTCATACGTATACCAAGTATCATCATTGCTTCTTTTACGATTCCATTTTATGGTGAACTTGTCAAAAACATTGTGATCTGATTGAATTTGCAGTGAAGTTGATGAATCAGACGATGAGTTTCATCATGGAAGTGGAAAAAGCTGTATGTGCACAATCATGTGACCCATTGGAAGTTAAAGATTGGTTGCAGAAAACAAAAGGCTTTCCATATAGTTGATGCAGCTGCTCTCTTATCATGTGCACTTTTGTTATTATATATATAAAGAGACAGGATTTGCAAAAGATTGGATAAGAAGAGCAACTTTTGGATGTGTAGCCACTTGATTTGTCAATTTTGTGCTGTATTTTAGATTATTCTATGTACATCAACATCTCTCTATGCTACCCTGTCCAGTAATGATAAAATCCACAACACAACTTTTGGAAAAGAAAATCCAATTAAAAATTGGGAGCTTGGATTTTGAACTGAACCTAGATTTTTGGTTCGGTTTCGATTCTCTTGGCAAAACCGATCGGCTAATTTCAATTTGGGTTCGGTTATCCAAGAATTTTGGATTGGGTTGGGTCGAACCGATCGGTTTCTTGGGTGATTGTTTTTTTTTTAATAACTAGATTATACCAAAATTAGATCGGTTTTCACCGATATCCGAATTTAACTGAACCAAATTACCTGAACTTAACTAGAAATATCCAATTTAACCGAATTACAAAAAAAAAAATCAAAACCGAAATTAACCGAGAATAGAAACAAACCGACCGAATTTCTTATCGTTTAATTTCGATAACTTTTTTTTTTTCTTTTTTTTTTTCTTTTTTTTTTTTTTTTTTTTAAATTTCGATAACCCTCTAGAAATAATTTGATGATCGAAAAAATTGGCTCATTTCGGTTCGTTTAACTGAAATAATCTCAGTTAAAAAATCCAATATTAATTCTTCGAAATTTGAAGTTAATTAAAAATTTACTCAATCATCATGACTTGGTTTTAGGCTTTTAGCTTCAAGTCAAACAAGTAGTTAAAAACTATTACCACGCGCCATCAACGCGCGTGGGATGATTCCAAAAGTACCATTTGCGTTTAAGCTTCAGACTTGGCCAAATCACATCCACAAAGACATTACCAAAAGACAGAACCAAAGCTTCGAAAATCAGACAATTCAACTAAACGAAAAGATGTCAGTAGCTTCACCGATTCAATGTATCAGGATTCTAAATCCATCATCTTCCTCTTCTTCATCTTCTTCAACAGCTTCGTCGTCTTTTAGATTCTCATCGACGACTAAGCCATGTGTATTCATCATCAGATGTTCTCAGACAGAAGGTCCTTTAAGAAGGCCCTCGGCTCCTCCAACTCTCCGGGAGCCGCAAAAACCTGTTCCTCCATCGCAGCCCTCTTCCGCTCCTCCTCCTCCTCCCCCGCCGCAGAAAGCTGTGGCTGTTGATGGGAAGAGTGTAACTACGGTGGAGTTTCAGAGACAGAAGGCTAAAGAGCTTCAAGAGTACTTTAAACAGAAGAAGCTTGAAGCTGCTGGTCAAGGTCCTTTTTTTGGTTTCCAACCCAAAAATGAGATCTCCAATGGAAGGTACTTCCTTTACTTAAGCTATGATCTCAATTCTTGAATTTGAGTGATGGGTCCTAATTGTTTTGCGGGTTTGCTTGTGTTTAGTGTTTCTTCATAAACTTATATGCATCTTGATGCTATATGATACAATACTTTGCAAAAGATGTTCTTGCCACTTCAAGACCTGATCTCAATTGCATTTGTTGATAGCTTTGGTTCTTAAAACAATTTACTGGTCATTGATGTTTCTTTAGTTAAAGTTTCACACTTGATGAGTTCTGTCTTGAATGTTTTTACCCAATTTGCCTGTGCATTTGTCTTAGGTAGACAAAACACTCAATCGCATCTGCTGCTTCCTTATAATTATCGATGTTTGAATGTATCTAGTTCTTACTAATGCACACACAAGAATTGTGGTTGATATAAGAATTAGTTGGTACTGCCTAGACATGAGATATCTCTGTGTGTTTGTTTGCAGGTGGGCGATGTTTGGTTTCGCAGTTGGAATGCTCACAGAGTATGCAACAGGATCAGACCTTGTTGATCAAGTTAAGATCCTTCTCTCGAATTTCGGCATTGTAGACTTGGAATAATAAGAGTGTTGTTATATATAGACAGACCCTTTTCTCTCTTGTCTCCTATTCCTCTTCTTGTTTATTGTTCTTCCTGTATATGTATCTCTAAGATTTTTAAATACAGGGCCATTTGTGTATCCAATCACTTTATCTTCAAATGGTATAAATACGATCTTGTATCGATTCTAGAATTGCATACAAAAGGTTTTTTGAGGATTAAATAAAAGTGTATTCTCGTTTTAAAAGTATAATCAGTATTCTCTCCTCCAAAGAATCTCAGATCTTTGTTAAGGAATCTGTGCAATCTCGAGAAGAATTTTGTGGAGAGATTGAGGCTTTGAGAAGAAAGGACAATGATCACTTCCTTTGATCTTGAAGACTCCTTCAGGGCTGTTCTCTCTCACTACCTTCTCTTGAACATCTGGTGAGAGCGCATGGTCATCTAGTGTCTGGACATAGAATCTTCTCCCTTTCCCGTATCTTTCTGCGGTCAGAGATAGCTTCTCCATCATTGGTCCGAGTGGTACAGGTCGCATTGAGATCATTGCCAATGCTATATCCTGCAAAACCATAAACCAAATCACTTAAAAAAGTTGCAGAATTTTGCTAATTACCAAATGCATATGCACAATTCAAGAATTAGAGTTTTGGAGTGTACCTTGTTGGGTGATTGATTGAAATACAAGCCTTTCATGTGTGGTTTCTCAAACATAAACCCCGTAGGAGGCTTGTTTTTTCCATTCCCATAAATCAAGAACTGTGACTCTTTCATGAATCGCTCTGCGGAACCAAGCTGCAGCAGTGTAGACAGTTTCTCACAAATGTGAGCACAAAAGTACAAAGACTACATCGCGCTTTTCTCTAATGCATGACAGATATGAACTCAAAGAGTGTTTATTACCTCTTCAGAGAAAACATCAAAGGGTCTTTGGCCATCAGAAACCATGGTTGCACATACAAATATAGCTTTTGAGATTTTCTCTGGAAACCGCTCTAACGCATATGAAATGGACGCACCTCCAGTACTATGACCCACTAGAATAACCTGCATAAAACAACAAACTCGTTTCTCATTGCCTCATTCCTCCAATCAAATGGTTTATAATATTCCTCCAAACAAAGAGAGCAAGCTCTAACCTTCTCTTCTTCAGGGAGGTTTTCAAGGAGCTCGATCAACGGTCTTGAATATTCCTCCAAGGTAGAGACACTGTTTGTGTCCGTCATATTAAATCCACACCCAGTGAGGTCAACTGTAGTAGGAGACAGTCCTGACTCTTCCAATGAAGCAACCATCTTGTACCAACACCATGCCCCAAATCCTTCACCGTGCACCAAAACAAATTTCTTCACTATCAAGCTCTCTGAAAAATCAGGTACCTGAAGAAGGAACATAGATTCATTGCTCTAACATCTGAAAGCTAGTTTATAACAATACCATCATCAATCTATATAGCAAAGACAAGGTGTGACAGGAACAAACAATCAGCAAAGACGATCCACTATCGAACAAAGTGATGCAACTTCAATTCTTTCATAGCAAGCCACTTTATGAGTTGTGGCTAAAGACACTCAATAGTTTTATAGCTCATCTGGTCCCAACACAGTGTCAGTATCAGACTGAAGAACATTTCTTTTCATGATAAAGTTAACATTTCCAACAGATAAGTCAGAAATCTTTCAACACTTTTTCACTTCTCTTTTCTAATTTTAACAAAGATTCTTCTCTTCCTCTACTTTTTATAGTAACCAAAATATAGAAAAAGTTCCCAAACAATCATTAAACCAGCAAAAAGGCAAAGACTCAGTCGAAACAATCATTAAATCATATAAAAATGAAAACTTTGAACTTTTCAAGAAAAAGATTGAAACTTTTTTATAAGTGTAGAGAAGATTCAGAATCAGTAGTGATTTTTACCTGCTTGCCATTAGAAAACGGGTCAGAGAGAGTTCGTTTCCTAGTACTAGTAGACCCGACTCGTCTAGACATAGATCCATCAAATCTCTGAGAAAGCTGAGCTTGATGAATCGCCATGGAAAGAGCTCGACGATGCAACATCTCTTCATCAGCAAGTAATTTCCTCTGTGACCGATTCATTCGTTTGCTCTTAGATCCTCCTCCTCCATCTTTGCTATCTTTCTTCATCATTGAGATTATCTTGTTACCCATCTTTCCAAATCAAGAACCCAGAAGGGAACTTCTCAAGAAAATGGAAGTTTTTCGAGAAAGTCAAAGTTTTTAAAGAATAGAGGCTTCTTGGCTCTAGATGGGATCAGCATATAGGCTTGTTACTTCCAAAGAGAGAGAGAGAGAGAGTAGGTGAAGAAGCAATCGGTCATTAATTGTGATAAATACAGTTCATTGTGAATTTTGTACCACCGGAAGAAAAAAATAAAACAGAGGATAGAGACAGTTTTGGACAAAGTTAGTTGAGGTTGTAGATTTGTAAGAGATTTCCTCAATCTCTTGTAAGATATGAGTTCACACTGTTGCTTCCTGAGACTGTTAACATTATTTTACTATCTTATGATTTTGGTGAGAATTTCTAAAAATTTTGACCTTTCTTAGTCAACATACTTCATTTTCTTCTCTTAAGTCAACATATATACTTGATTTCATTGTAGTCTCAAGTCTGTATATAAATATCACATGTGACATGAATCTCATTTTGTTACTTTGTTTCAAGTTGGGGATAGTCTTTCTATTTTCACCATTATGTACAAAATAAAATGAAAAAAGAAGAAGCATTTAGAGTATATGAAAGGTGAAATTGTGTCATAAGCTACAAGGTTTATGTCTTAAAAACACATGTGTAGTTAAGCACAAAAACATGAGTAACTGCTAGTTGAAAGGGGATTGCATTTCCTTCTCACTGTCGTTTGTTTTTTGTTCTCCTATTCTCTAGTTCTAGATTTTTTTTTTTCTAGACTGATTATACATAACTCAATCCACTCGCTGCCAAAACAAAATATATAACCTCCCCAATCAACACCAACCTAAGAGTTGTTGGTCTCCTAAACTATTGCACTGGTTCTAAATCATTTATCTTGATTTTGTGTATAGGAAACTTGTCAAACTTCCACATATACTAATTTTGTTGATGATGTTTAGTTTCTAAATTCGCCACAACAGAAATTTTTGACGCATAGTTTAGTTAGTTGTGAAGACGTAGTTGCTGTCTGATGAAGTTGTTGAATGAGTCAAGAAGTAATACCCTTGTTCTAAAAATCGGCCGCCTAGCCCCTGATCGGAGGAGCACCGCGGCAATTTTGTCCAAATCGGCCTGGACCGCCTAGGCGGCCGCCTAGCCCGCCTAGACGGCGCCTAGCCCAATTTTTTTTTTTTTTTTACTTTTTTTTTCATCTAAAATTCAAAACGTCCTACTTATGTTCGTAATTTGTATAAAAATCATAAATTTGAAATTAAAATCTTGTTTTCATGTGTTTAATACAATTTTAAAAACAATATTATATAAATTTCTTAATTATAATGGATTAATATGTTTTTAAAATATTAAATAACTCTAAAACTAATCCCCGATTAATCCCCGTGTAATCCCCGATTTTCTTGCTAGGCGCTAGGCGCACCCTCACCGCCCGACTAGCGCCTAGCGATTTTTTGAACACGGAGTAATACAAGATTTTGTCTGATGGAGTTACTGAATGATTCAAAAAGTAATTCAAGATGCTGTTGTTTTTGTGTGAGTGTCGGTTTCTAGAAGGTTTGAGAAAATATGTTTGGAGCGTGTTTAGAAGATGAATCACAAAGGAAAAAAGACTTAAAGAGATTTGGAAGACTTGATGAAAGTGGAGTTTGATGAGAAAAAAGAAAAGTATAAAAGAAAATTTATTTTTCCTTATGGAAATTGGAAATCTTCTCCTATGGTGATTAGGAATTCGTTTTGACTATATAAGGAGGAGTTGAGGATGTCTTTGAGAGGCAAGAGAGCTGAGGGATAGAGACAAATCATTGAGAGCTTTCTGAGGGTATGTGCTACATAGTTTCGCGGTTTTGTGCGACATAGTTTCGCGGTTTGATGCTTGTGTTATCAAGCTTATTTATCTGTTGGTGTAACGTTCGTGTGTGACGGTTGGTCCAGAGACTTGAAGAATTGAAGTCTAGATTCAAAGGGAGTTTAGCTCAGGATTTGGTTATCCTGATTAAATCTAGACTCAGGGGGAGTTTAACTAAGGGTAGAGATTATCCTTAAGGTTTCACGTTATAGAAGGGAGCGGTAAATCAAGAGGGTTGTGCTTGTTTTACGCGTTTGCGAATTGGTTGTAATTTGCTTTCATGTTCTAGTGAAATCGAAATCTGGACTTGGTCCCGGGAAGTAGGAAAAACCGAACCTCGTTAACAAAGTTCTTGTCTCGTTTGCTTTCTGCAATTTATCTTACCCCATTTGTACTTATAATTGGTATCAGAGCAGGTTCTCGATAGAGATTTAGTCTTGTTTCGGGTAGATCAAGCGTGAGGTTCAAGAAATCGTTCAGGAAGTAAGACAGAGTTTGATATCAAGATTGATGGAGATATTGAGTTTGCCATTCAAGAAGCGCTTCTCATGGAATGAGGGAGACAAATCTCTTCACGGGTTTAGGGCTAATGGAAAAAGAGAAGAGTTGGGCAATTCATCAAATGGCATACAATGTTTTGTGTGCAAAGGTTTTGGACATGTGCGTTTTGGAATGTGCGAATTTGCTGAAGCCTAAGAAGAAGTAAATTATTATGAATAACTCTGAAACTGATTCAGATGATGGTGAGGAGTTGAAGAGTTTTGTGGCGTTTACAACCTTTGAGTCAACATCTGTAGTAGGAGGTGTATCAGCGTCTATGTCAACATTTATGATGTGAGATTTCGTGGTCCTACATGTTATCATTGTGGAGTTCAAGGGCATATTAAGAAGAATTGTTTCAGATTCATTCGAGAATTCAGTCATGAAGGTTTAAGTCGCACCAAGATTTGGGTTAAGAAAGATGATTTCTATGCAGGTGGTGTACTAAGCTATCAACCTTGTCTTGCAAAGCGGGGAGAATTTTCCAAGCAGTTTTGACCATGTTGTGACTCATTCTGGGGGAGAATGATGATGTTTTTCATGATGTTGTTTTGGAGTTAGAATTGTTGAGTTCACAAACATAGTCAAAAAGGGGGAGATTGAAGATGTAGTTGCTGTCTGATGAAGTTGTTGAATGAGTCAAGAAGTAATACAAGATTTTGTCTGATGGAGTTACTGAATGATTCAAGAAGTAATTCAAGATGCTGTTGTTTTTGTGTGAATGTCGGTTTCTAGAAGGTTTGAGAAAATATGTTTGGACCGTGTTTAGAGGATGAATCACAAAGAAAAAAGGACTTAAAGAGATTTGGAAGACTTGATGAAAGTGGAGTTTGATGAGAAAAAGGAAAAGTATAAAAGGAAATTTACTTTTGCTTATGGAAATTGGAAATCTTCTCATATGGTGATTAGAAATTCATTTTGGCTATATAAGGAGGAGCTGAGGACGTCTTTGAGAGAGGCAAGAGAGCTGAGGGATAGAGACAAATCATTGAGAGCTTTCTGAGAGTGTGTGCGACATAGTTTCACGGTTTTGTGCGACATAGTTTCGCGGTTTGATGCGACATAGTTTTGCGGTTTGATGCTTGTGTGATCAAGCTTATTTGTCTGTTGGTGTAACGTTCGTGTGTGATGGTTGGTCCAGAGACTTGAAGAATTGAAGTATAGACTCAGGGGGGAGTTTAGCTCAGGGTTAGGTTATCCTGATTAAATCTAGACTCAGGGGGAGTTTAGTTAAGGGTAGAGATCATCCTTAAGGTTTCACGTTATAGAAAGGAGCGGTAAATCAAGAGGGTTGTTCTTGTTTTACGCGTTTGTGAATTGGTTGTAATTTGCTTTCTTGTTCTAGTGAAATCGAAATCTGTACTTGGTCCCGGGGAGTAGGAAAAACCGAGCCTCGTTAACAAAGTTCTTGTCTCATTTGCTTTCTACAATTTATCTTACCTCATCCGTACTTACAAGATGACGAATATCTTTTAAGGGCTAAAGTAAATATCTTTTATTGGGGTAACGTGGATTTGAGTTTGGGTTAGATTTATGGGGCTTAGTAGATATATTTTATTGGGGTCACTATTACAAACTTCAGAAAACATGTTAAACAATTATATTTTATGGAATTTTATGGGGGCCAACTGACTCCCCTCCTTCTCATATGCCTCCGCCCTTGGCACTAGGTATGATTCAACTCGCTTAAATCTTTAGATTTGATCCCGGTAAACCGCTCTTGCTATATGATCTGAGATTCTCAGATTCGGATTGGAACTTGTCGTTCCATTGCAACCCTTTGAGCTCTTTAAGCACAACGGTGTATAGATTGTTGAGAAGATAATCGGTTGTATCTGGACTGCTATATGGAGTTCCAAAAGAGATGAGTCCACAATAAGATTTTTCAGGAGAAAACTGACTCAGTTATTTCATGTCAATGAGTCTTTGAATAAGTTGGTTGAGGCAATCATTAGATATAAAGATTATCCTTGTGTTTGAATTTGGATACAAGAGGCTGACATAACCAATTTCGTGATCAAATATTTGAAAACTAACCTAAAATGCCACAAAATACAAAAGAAAACTAACCTAAAATAAATTTTGAATATGCTCAATAACCTAGCAACAAAAATTTATTTGCATTATATTGGAGTTGGTGGCTTGGTGCAGACGAAAAGACAAAGTTAGTTGGAGACTTTTAATTTTAATTTTGGTAAAAGAGATAAAAGGTGACAAGTGATAACCATTGTGAATCGATAAACAGTCGCTAGATGTATCTTGTTGTCTGTTGGTGACATGTAAACAAACCATTCTTTTGGTGGCTTAATCAGATGAAATAAACCAACTTCCACAAGAAAATATTACTTAGCAAGAAATTAACTTCACAGTAATCAAACTATTATATGGTTAAAATCGTGCAATCACGTACTAAGGCCTCTCAGGAACCCAAAATAAAACCCGACACACTGTATTTCCCGCTCCCTATACACTTTGACTTTATTTTCATTACTCAGACTTGGGAGTAAGTTCTCACTTCTCACTCACTTGTCTGTAACACCGCACAAGCCAAAAGGGGGGATGCAGGTACCATGAACCGCAAACGAGTCTTTTCTTGTCTCTCTCTCATAAATCTTGAGCTGATTCCTACTTTGAGAACGGCCTCTTTTATGTGCAATACTACGACTTACGACATTGGACCAAAAGTCTCCAAAACCCGAGTGATGTTGATAGTGTTACTCCCCATTTCGATTGAGATCTATAGATTCCCATTCAAGGACAAAATCCATTGGAATGGCTCATATATTTAGCCTGAAAGGTCAGAACAATCATAAAACTGTGTTGACAAACCCATCCAATAGTTCAAGAAGAAGAAAACAAACTGATGTTCAATGCTGAGAGTAATAGAAGCTTACCACAATGTTATGTAATATATCAAGTACCCAATGATGGTTTTTGAATCCACATTTGCTTCTGCAACACAGTAAAAATGAATCTTCCAAACATGGTTATAAGAGGACATTAAGGTGTAGTAAAAAAGGCTTTGGTTTGGCTTGCCTCTTGTGAATTGGGACCACCACCACCACCTCTCCGGGAGGTTTTACCCTCACCAGTCATCAACTCTTCTTTTCTATTGCGACCTCCAACACGGCGACTAGAATGTCTGGCAGAACCTGGATAAAGTCGAAAGTTTTGGCAGAACCAACATCACTTTTCTTTATTAATAATGACACAAGGCACATTTTGCATTCTCCAACTTCAAATGAACTAACCATTCTCAAGAGTGTGTCCACCAGAGGAGTTCACCACTTCTCCAGATCTTTGAGAGAACATCCTGTCTTTCACTTCTCCATTGTTTCCTGTAAGAACATATACCAGAAGAGTTGAGATGTCATGGAGGAGACGCAACCATGAAAATGAAACTAATTACTTAATTAATGGTCAACAACAGAAACAGAACCTGCTGAAGATAGTGGTTGATCCTCACTGATATTGGAGCCATCACGACGAAGAGGAGCCCACACAACACGATCAGGTCTGTCCTTGTTTCTTGTACGCCTCTCTTGCTTCTCACTGATGGTACCAGAAGCATGATAATCTTTCCCTGCAAATGGACCATCTATTTGAATTATCAGCCCAACTTGGGAAGCAAACATTCTGACTTAAATCCTATTGCTTTATAACCTGCTCGAGTGTTGGCTGGCCGAGGAGGTCGTTTGTAGTTTTCAGCTTCTGAGGGTTCCACTCTTTGCTCAGGCTGGACAAAAGTGGAAGACTGGCTCGGTCGTGAGTCACTTTTCATAAGTATTCCCTTGATCAATCTCCCACCAACATCACTCTTCTGATTCTGTCTTGAAGCCGTGGAGTTTCCAGAAAGAATAGTTTCAATATGCTGTTCCGGTTGTGGTGGAGGGTTCTAAAAACACCATTAACGAATGAGAAATTTTACATGGCTTATAATTCTGTCTACAACTATCAAAATACAAGACAGTCTGCACAACTTTCTTAAACAACAAAAAAGCTTACATCAGAATTGTCCCGGTCTTTTGACTTCAGGAGCAAAATCTTTTTCTTCCCAGAATCCATAGTCAATGCGATCCCTGGGAGAGAGCTATCAATGACAGGGGCTGCAATTGAGTAGCATAAAGACAGAGAGTTAAAAGTGGCCTTTAAAAATCATGTGATTAGCTAGTTAGGAATAACTACAGCTGTTGATTTATTACCAGTTTCATTTCCACTTGAATTTGACTGACGATAATCTGGCTTAGAGCTGCTGACGTCTGCTGTAGTCTTCCGAGGCACGTTCTTTGAACTGTCTTTTTCCACATACTAATATATGAAAAGTAAAAGATTTATAACAAAAAATTCTCCATAAGGTAACAGTCGAGTAAAATGGCAAACCACACTAAATAGTGAGAGACACACCTTTTTCTTTTCAGAGTTTCGTTTTGAGGGCCTTGAACTCGGCTTGTTTGCAGAGACTACTCTGGCTCTTCTACCTCCTCTTCGAACATCTGATAAACCCTGTTGCTTGAACAGAAACCAGAGATCAACAATAGAAGTTCCATTTTCGAATGGATAAACTACAAAGATATTCATACCAAGAAAGCTCTGATATTGCACTAGGTAGACTAAGTGAAAAAGTAAAAACGTAAGCATAATGTACCTGGGATCCCATCACAGTAGCACGTTTTTGACGTATGAATTCCATAAGAGGGGTAACAATGGGAGCCGCTTTTGAAGCACCTAAAGAGTGATTTTTTCTTTAGTAATTTCGATTAATTCATTAGAGAATAACCAACCTGGTCATATCGAAGAAGCATAAAAATGATTGCAAATACGAAACACGAACCAGACTGCTCAGCTTCTCTTCTTTCCAACTGGATTTCAGCACTAGGAAGATTCTCAACAGGTTGAGCAATCACCTTAAGGAACTCCAGATAATCAGGATCTTTACTAATAGACCCTTCACGAGGATCTTTCTTATCACACGGTTTCGGCACACGCTGAGAAGGCGCATATTCAACTACAGCCTTAAACTGAGCACCTAAACCAAAAGAAACCACAAATCACATCTCCGAATACACACATACTACTAAAAACACATGCAACCATCAGACAAAGACAGATTAAAAAGTCAAATACCCTTTTCATTAACAAACACATGCCCGTTGAAAAATGCAGCGAACTCATAAACATCTTCTGGTGCCTTGAAACTTACGTAGGCCCGTGAATACTTCTGATTTTTATAGCTGAGGAAACCACAAAAACAAACACACACACATCACTACAAAACTCAATACTAAGTATACTTTCACTAAATTCAACTAAGTAACAAGAATCTCTAACATAATCAAAGACAAAAATCTTCAATTTTCATCATCTTCTTCAATTACAAAAAAAATCGTAACCCTAAAATTAAACAACATTCATAGAAACCCAAATACGAAATTCAAGACCCAAATAGAACAGAGGAAAAAGAAACCCTAACCTGGACTTCCCAGGACGAAACGAAACCCAATTGTAACGATCAGCGAAACGAGGATCAATTTGAGATAAGAGATCGGACTGTGAAAGAGAAGGCGGCAAGTGACGAACAACCACCTTCTTCTTCTGCAAAGGTTCCTTCATCAAAAATTATTCAAAACCCTAAATTTTCCTTAGAGAAAGTCGCAAATCAAACACGAAGAAGAAAAGTGAAACACATCAAGACGCAATTTTGCCCTAATTTTTGTTTCCTCTCTTCCCTTTCCTCTGGAAAAGAAAAAAAATAACTCAGCTAAAAATAAAATAAAATAAGTAAGAAGAAAATTTCGAACCCGAAGACAAATCAATCTTCGGTCTACGTGGACTTTTTTATTTATATGGGCCAATATTGGGCCTTAATGGGCTTGTTATTGGGCTACCCGTAGTCTTCTCATCTAGACCGTAGGATAAAAGGCTGATAAACACATCGTACGGTTTAAAATCAATCTAATAAGTGATCCGCGTCGCAGGTGATAACTACGAGTTTGTTTCGCAGACGCTTCTGGTCTTGTCAGGTTTTACTGATTTCGTATAAATTGAGTCCAAAAAAGATATTTTGGTAAAGATTGTCGCTTTAGCTTCTCCGCTTTCCAAGCTAGTAATATTCTTTCGTCTCTATCTTATTTACTCGATTGCTTTTTGATCTGTTGATTCTGTGGTTTGATTTGATTCTTCTGGTTCTGTTTTGCTCTGTTTTTGGTGTTTAATTCTTCTTAACAAGTAAGTAATCTTCGATCGGAAACTTGAGCGTTTGGTGCGTGTAAGGTTCTTGCGATCGTCACTGTTTTGTTTGCTTTTTACTTGGATTTTGTGATTAAATCTGTCAAAGATTAGAACTTTACGTGACCCTTTAACTGATTTTTCAGATAAGGGTATATGAGTTTGTTGAAGATGGGTGGCGATATGATGGAAGATGATTGGGAATTTGCTTCATCGTCAAACCCTAAACGAACCCTAGTTCTTGTAGGCCGTACTGGAAACGGAAAGAGTGCGACAGGGAACAGTATCCTTGGGAGGAAAGCTTTTAGGTCAAGAGCTAGAACTGTAGGAGTGACGAGCACGTGCGAGTCACAGAGAGTTGTTCAAGAAGATGGTGATATCATTAATGTGGTTGATACTCCTGGTAAGCGTTTTCATTGGATTTGGAAGTCTAAATTTGATTCACTTTAGTCTATTTTTACTTTCTTGAATGTGATGTTAAGTTGTTAACCTGGTGAATTTTTTTGTATAGGTTTGTTTGATTTGTCCACTGCAGCTGATTTTATTGGGAAGGAGATTGTGAGGTGCATAAGTTTGGCAGAAGATGGGATTCATGCAATCTTGTTGGTATTCTCTGTTAGGCGGCTTGCTGAAGAGGAGCAAACTATTCTTAGTTTCTTGCAAGCACTATTCGGCAGTAAAATCGCTGATTATATGATCGTTGTTTTTACCGGTGGGGATGAGTTGGAAGAGAATGAGGAGACATTGGAGGAGTATTTGGCTGACTTTTGCCCTGAGTTTCTGAAAGTAAGCGAATTTGGCTATTTTCTTGAGTCTTTCATGAAGGATTTTTTTCAGCTTACTTAGGTATATTTGAATTGGTGTGGCTTGTAGGAAATTCTTGGGATATGTGACAATCGGGTGGTCTTGTTTAATAACAAGACTACTGATAAGCTCAAGAAAGCTGAGCAAGTTCAGAAGCTTCTCTCACTTGTTGAATCGATTGTCAAACGAAACAACGGAAAACCGTATACAGATGAGTTGTTCCATGAGCTACAGGTGAAATTGTTGCTTTCGCTTTTTAGAGTTATTCTGTTTTGAAGTAGAGTATCCTAACTGTGATTGCATTTTCAGGAAGAGGCTATCAAGCTAAGGGGCCAGAAAAAGGAGGTTGAAGCGCTGAAGGGTTACTCAAATAATGAGATATCTGAGTTCAAGAAGCAGATTGATATGTCCTATGACCGGCAACTTAGCCGCATCACAGAGATGGTAGCTGTTGTGTTGTTAATGCGGATCAAAAGCTTTTTCGTATACATTGATTAAATCATAACTATACAAGCTTTCTGCTTTCTTGTTGCTGTTCAGGTGGAGACAAAGCTGAGAGAAACGGCCAAGAGGCTGGAGCAGCAACTGGGTGAAGAGCAAGCCGCAAGAATTGAAGCGGAAAAGAAGGTAAACGAAGTTCAGAAACGGTCGAGCGATGAGATTAAGAAGCTCAGGGAGAATCTGGAGAGGGCTGAAAAAGAGACAAAGGAGCTCCAGAAAAAACTGGGAAAGTGCATCAATCTGTGATGCTGAGACTGAAGCTTCAGTGAAATCTGATAAGGGTGTTATTTATTCATGTCAATTATATGGTTTTTTTTGTTTATAACAGTATGGTTTTATCATTAAAGACTGTGTTATAAGTTTGCTTAAATCTTCCCTAATTATTGATCCAATTCGTCCAATTTTTCTGGTATAAACATGACGGGATCACTTATTCTTCGCTTGTCCGTACTCTTTCACGGTTTGGTCCTCGCTAGCGGGGAAGCTTCTTCGTCACCACATGACTCCGGATTGGGCTGACACTGTCACTGCAATTCAAAGCCTTTCGGGTGACTGCCTACGAGATATCCTCATTCGTTTGTGTTTTCAGGTAACTGTCTATATGCTATGGCGTGAGCGGAACACACGCATCCATGACAATGGTGGTATATCAGCAGCCCAGTTGATTCGCAATGGAGAGAAACTTATTCGTAATAGGATCTCATCCCTTGATTACTCGAAGAAACCCCACCGACGACTTTTGTTTCATCTCATAGCTCTGTTTCCGTTTTTAGCTCTGTTTTAAGCTTCTTCATATGTTCTATTTTCTGCCATTAGTGGCCTGCAAACAGTACTCGTGAGCTTCCTTTTCAAACTGATGTACATAACTCCCTATTTTGATATATAAATTACACATTCAAACAAAAAAAAAAAAAAAAATCTTTGGTAAGGCCCTCTTTTTAATATCCAGCAGATGGTTTTCTGATCATAGACAATGTCTTTAGTTACCTAAAGACGCATGCATGTATTCGATCTTTTGATGCTGGTTAAATTTTAATCAGTCTCTCTTTGGATAGAGTTTAGTCTTTGTTGTGTTGACTTGATGGGTTATGTTTCATCTCAATAAACTCATTCTTGGCTCGTTTTATCCTCTTGTGCTTCAAAGCCGCCTATCTTGCCAAATGCAAATGAAATGACTCCAAAACGCAACTAAAATAACACAACTATCTTGGAATTCTAAAGTTCAAGAAGAAGTCACAAATTAACCACTAAATGCAACAAAAAAAGAAATGAAACCACAAAAGATACATAAAGAAATACGTAAAACGGTAAATGAAAACATGAGACACAAATGTTTAGTTGTTCTCTTTAAACTTGAGAGTTCTGTAACTTTTCGCTATTGCAGATTTCACTAATTAAAATCATAATTATTGGTAGGAACTTTGCGCTACCACTTTCCTTCCACTGTTTTCAGTCAGTGGGAAATTTATCGCAGATTTCCTACCATTCTCGATTTCCTACAAAAATTTATTGACACACTTTTTCGTAGAAAGATGGTAGGAACTGTTTTTTTCCTACAATTATCCTACGTTTTACAATACTTATCCAAATAAGGAACACAAATCTTAGGGTTAACAAACATAGACTAAAAAGAAACGGGAAAATAATTACCCAATATACTTAACCGCAAAGTAGTATTTCCGAGACTCGTTCTTAGCTAAAGCGAAAGGTTGTTTTGTTTGGGTTTTCAGAATTATAAATAAAAATGCAAGTAATTTAAACGATTAAACTTATGAATTAAAGATATTGGGCATTAGGGTATTTCAGAGATCAATAAACAATGGAAACATGAGACAATGAATTCAACAATTAAGAACCGTTCTTGAATATGAACACATTTAGACTATTTCTCTTTCAAGACATTAATCCCTAAATTTGACTACTCGATTACTAAACTTTCACATGTAATATCCTAGTCAAATTCGCATTATCAAACAAGTTCATTTAGTTCACAATGCGTCATAACTTCAACTTTTGTTGGCTAGAAATACATTGCTCAATTCACATTCTTTCAGGCATTCTATCGAACACTTTTGATGCATAGAAAAACCTAGAATCTACAACAGGGTGATCAATCCTATTATAGCATTAAGAACATGTGAATCAAAGAACCTAGAGAATGAGAATTCCTAATAACAATCAATCCATTAATCCATTGAATCCCCTAATTAGAACCCTAAAACCCAATAGGATACCTACTCACACCTAGGAAAAGAGATAACAAAAATCAATGAAGAAAACATGATGAAATTGTAGAAATAACAAGAAAGGGTTTAGAAATCTTCTCCAAGTGTCAAGAGGATGGATTCCTTTGCCCAAAGTTGTTTACAAACCAAATAACAAAGTTTAGAACTGAAAAATATGAAAAATAATGTGTAAAGAGTCGAGCATAGGGTTTTAAAACAATAGGAAACGAGCCGGGTCGGATCTGGAGTGAATCGGGTCAAATCTGGGCCAAAAATACGTCTGGGAAAGGGATCGATCGATCCAAAGGAGAATCGATCGATCCCGCGTAACTGGAAACTGCTTCTCGTCCGTCAGAGGGATGGGATCGATCGATCCACAGGTGGATCGATCGATCTGGGTCTTCTGGTCTCCAACTCCGCAACTGCTTCAAATGCTCGCCAGAATGACCTATCTTCACTAATTCGGGTATAACTCTTGAATGCACCGTTAGATTTTATTCAAACTACTTGGAACCTCAAGCTAACATCTTCATATAGCTTGTGTCAAAAATTCAGAAAGATCTAACGGTGGGAAGTATTCCATCTGAGGCCAAAAGTCTGACACTTCTAAACTAAACTACATCTCCAAAAGTGTGTTTATATCCCAAAACAGCTCGTTTTCCTCCAAAACAACCTAAAACCTGTAGAGACTCGATAAAGGACTAAAAGACTCTAAAACACACTTTGACTCTATAAAAAATATGATTCTAGGAAAGAAAACAAAGACTCGAAACCGTCAAAAACGCAACACATCAGAAAACTTTAATGAGCGTTCTTAATTAAAACGTATGTGTTTTGAGAGATTTTGCTCGACAACTCAACACGATGAAACACTTTTCATTGAGAAAAAACCTCTTTCTCGACTCTCTATTAAATCAAACAAAACCGTGTCACCTTACAAAGCACATACACACATATTTATTATAATGCAAACAAGAAGCAAATCAAACAAAGATTGTTGGATTATTGAGGCTATGAAGAAACAGAGTAAGAGATAAAGATACCTTTAAAGAAGACAAAGAACAAAATAGAAACTTTTATTGAATCTGATACTTGTTACTATTTACATGACGATACAATGAGTTTAAATAGAAAACAAATAGACACAACACATGAAGAGTTGTCTCTCTTCCTACTTGTGGCTTTTGAGTAAAACAATACAAACTTACAGCCGTTAACTGAAAACTCAATTATCAACCAACAAAGATTAGGCTACGAATGACCTAATCAATTTAGGGAAGTAACAGAAATGAAACTGAAACAAAAGCAAAAGCAGACTCAGAACAGGCCAAAAGTCCAAGAGCATGCTCAAACGAGGAACATAGAAAATGCTCCGAGTTAGAAACACAAAGTCTCGGCAATGGTTCTTTATTTTTTATTAAGAAGGCAAAGTGTGGGGATGGAAGAGCCCACAGTGAGTGATCAGAGAATGCTGCACTGCTGACGGCTTTGCATTTGCGCTTCCAGTTCAGCACGCATACTGGAACAATGTCTTCTTTCTTACAAAGGTTTATCCCAACAAATATCAGTACCTATTATCTTCCAAAGGGATATTGGGTTGCCATAAAAAAATACAATCAAGGAGGATGTTTGTCAAAATTTCAGTTGTTTTCCAAAGGTTTCTGTTTTTTTCCCATTTTGTATTTCTGATTACATTCTCTGTCAAAAAAGCTTTACGTATAATTATGTTTGCTTCCATGTTTGCATGAGTGTATGGTCACATATATATACGTGTGAATAAAGAATCTCGTTATTGTATCTACATATCTAGTTTTCAGTTTCATTTGTATTAAATATATCATTCAGTTGCTGTTTTACGTCTCCGATTTGGTTTAAGTTGACGCACGGCATCACTCAACAGAGACATGTATCTCTGTTTGTCGATGTTCTCACTGTTATCTCTGGAACAAGATTCAGTCGATCTCATCTATATTTATATTTTGAGGTATGTGTTTCAAACCAAAATCTATTTTATTTGGTGAGAAAGGAACCAACGACGTCACGGGAAACAGCCAACTCCCGCAACAGGTCTAATTAAATAACTCGACAGCACCGTCCGCAACCGCCTCTCAAAAAAAGCAGAGCAATGGCAAACTCGAAGAAGCTCTACAATGTTACATTTCCTTACAGATATAAGGAAAATGATTTCTGTAATATCTCTTTATTAAAGGTTAAAGCTTAAGATTAAGAATTTTTAGAACAATGATGCATATAATGTAACAAGGTTTTTGGATAAATAAAATTTTACATTCATATGGAAAAAAAATATATCATTCAACATCTTAACTACAATGGCTAATGTAGCTCACTTCTACCAACAGCGTGTTCCCTATTTTGAAAATGATTGATGAGAATGGAGAGATGAAGCAATTAGAGACAGTTAAATTATATCAATTTGGATTAATTGTTTTGTGACACCCGATTCGCTGACTTAGTGTACAAGGCATGCCATGTGTGTCTCTCGAAAACCTTACCAACAAGCAGTGCTTTTGTGTACTATTACTCCTGAGAAAACAAACATGCATCCATTTTACTCAGTGAAGATAATCCATTTTACCCACATGATTCAAAACATACATCTAGCCATACCATCCCACATCACAAATCCTAAGAATGGATATATTAGTATGCAACAAAGAAATGTAGCAACCTAGTAAAATTCATTCATTCTAGCATGATTCATTTTCTAGCACGATGCATGCCTACTTAATCCTCATTGATTCATGCTATGAAACAAACACTTCTTTGACATACAGAGACAACGATGACGGCATGTTCTTGTCATTGCTTGGTTTGTCAAAAAGCAACGAAACAAATTTTCACCTAATAATATATTCTTTGATGTTTGCAACAAATTTTCACGCTTAAAAGAAAGGCTTGATATATGTGAGGTTGCAATGGAATAGGGAAAAATAGAAATGGAAAAAGAAAACAAGAAGCACAAATAAAAAAAAAGGTACATAAAGTTTGGACGATGTGCAGGACTTGAGCTCCTGGATGAATTGACGTTGACTTAATCTTTTATCCCCCTAGGCTGAACTGGGTACATTGATCACAAGATGCTACACAATGGAAGCGCCGCCGCCGCCGGTCCTATCGCTCCAAAACCAAGCTGAATCAGCATCCGCTTCTTTTGC